TGGTGTACCTGGCAAAGGTAAAAAGGCCGCCGCTACCTAAGCGGAAGAAGAAGGAACCCCTGATTTTCACAGACGAGGATTACCCACCAGTCCTCAGCCCCCACAGAGACGCACTGGTGATAAAGGTGGAAATCAATAATGTGGTCGTCCACCGTACTTTGGTCGACACTGGCAGCTCGGTCAATGTTATGTACAGCAACACCTTTAAAGAGTTGGGGTTGTCTCGAAGCGACCTGAAACCAATCCATACGCCACTGTCAGGGTTCACAGGGGATACTATCGAAGCTGAAGGAACTATCACGGTGAAGGCCGGGGTAGGAGATGGAACCCACCGGCTCTGGATCGACATGGAATTCATGGTAGTGCAGCTCGACTATGCACACCATTTGATTCTGGGGCGACCAGGGTTGGAGGACCTGGAATGCGTAATCTCCCCCATCCACTTGTGCCTGAAGTTCAACACCCCCACAGAGGTGTGGGTGGCAAAGGGGAACCAGAGCATGTCACAGTCGTGCTACGTTAGAGCGACCAAAAGCCAAGCGCGAGTCAACGAGAATGTAAGCACGATCTATGCTGCAATCCAGAAGGAAGAGGGGCGACCTCGAGCTGAGCCAGCGGAAGAAGTCGAAGAAGTTTCTTTGGATTCGATCAAGCCAGAGCGGAAGGTGAAGATAGGTAAAACCTTACCGCTTAGACTAAAGGAGCAGTTGTTGGAGGTCCTTCAAATGTTCAAAGTGCTATTCGCTTGGGGCCTAGAGGACATGCCGGGGGTCGACCCGAAGATAATTTGCCACAGGTTGGCAGTGGACCCAACCTATAGACCAGTCTAACAGAAGAAGCGTTTCCTGTCCTCGGAAAGGAGAGAATTTGTCACCAAGCAGGTGACGACCCTGCAGTCCATTGGACATATCCGGGAAGTCCGCTACCCGGATTGGCTGGAAAATGTAGTCCTCGCACCCAAAGGAAACTCCTGGCGGATGTGCGTCGACTACACCGACCTAAACAAAGCCTGCCCTATGGACCCTTTCCCTCTGGCCAACATTGATCAGTTGGTGGACGAGACGGCAGGGTGTGAACTGATGAGCTTCATGGACGCATTCAGTGGGTATCATCAAATCAAGATGGCCGCGGCGGATGAAGAAAAGACCGCTTTCATCACTCCCAATGGGGTGTATTGTTACAAGGTGATGCCCTTTGGTTTGAAGAATGCTAGGGCGACCTATTCACGGATGGTCAACAAACTGTTCGCGCCAGTGCTAGGTGGATGCATGGAAGCGTATGTGGACGACATTATCATCAAGTCCAAGCGGATGGAGTCTCATTCCGGTGACCTGGAGAAAGTATTCAAGATCATGAAGAAGTTCCAGCTCCGCCTTAACCCCAAGAAGTGTACATTCGGGGTTCAGGGAGGCAAGTTCCTAGGACATATGGTTAGCCAAAGAGGGATTGAGCCTAATCCGGAGAAGGTAAAGTCAATCTTAGAGATGGAACCTCTGCGGAATGTGAAGGAAGTCCAGCGGCTCACTGGCAGGATTGCTGCTCTCAGTCGCTTCTTGTCAAAGATAGCTGATCGAGCAGCACCTTTCTTCCAGACCATTAGGAAGAGCAGGGGGTTTGTCTCGACCGAAGAATGCCAACGGTCCTTTGAAGGGTTGAAGGCATACCTCCTCTCCCCATTAGTGCTTTCGAAGCAAGAGCCCAGAGAGACCCTATTCCTATACTTAGGAATCTCTCCTCGAGCTGTGAGCTCGGTGCTTGTGAGGGAGGAGGAGGGCGCACAGCGACCTGTGTACTATGTGGCCCGGGTGCTGCGCTGGGCAGAGCTGAGATATACAAACATGGAAAAAACCATATTCACGGTGGTATGTACGGTGAAGAAGCTCACCCCATACTTTCAAGCCCATCCGGTCCATGTGTTATCTCAAATCCCTATCGGAACACTTCTCCGAAGCCCAAATGCCCCGTCACGGGTCAGCAAGTGGGGAGTGTTCCTGGGATCTTTTCAGATAGAGTTTAAGCCACGACCGGCGATAAAGGGGCAGGCGTTGGCAGATTTCGTGGTAGAATGCACCGCAAGAGAGGTGGAGTCCAGTGGAGAAGAACCCGAGGGGAACTAGTGGACTGTGTACACTGATGGTTCGTCCGCGACTGATGCTTCGGGGGGAGGTGTCGTAACAATATAACCAGAAGGGTTCAAAGCATACTACTCCGTGAGATTCCGGTTTAAAGTCTCGAACAATGAGGCTGAATATGAGGCGCTGCTTTGCGGGTTGAGGCTGGCAGCTTCAGTAAAGGCTGAACGAATCCAAGTCTGATGCGACTCTAAATTGATAGTTGGCCATGTCACAGGAGAATTTGAAGCCAAGGATGAGCGGATGAAGAAATACAGGGATGCCACACTGGAGTTGCTTAAAGCATTCGGGGCATACCGGATTGAGCAGGTTCCCCGGGAAGAGAATGCCGAGGCGGACATCCTGTCAAAACTTGTCCGGACTCCCCAGAACATATCAAGGCCATAACCCAGGAAGAAGAGTTGCTCGAGCCTAGCATCAGTCTCGGACAAGTACTGGTCATCACGCTCAAGGAGCCGGGATATTGGATCGATGAGATTACCATGTACATCTTTGACGGGTCGCTGCCTACTGACCCAATTGCAGCAAAGGTGGTGAAACGGCGTGCACCTAGCTACACGCTGGAGTGCGGTCGGCTGTACAAGCCATCATACAATGGTACATTATTGAGATGCCTAAGGAGGGACGAGGCGCAGAAGTTAATGTCGGAAATCCACGAAGGGATATGCTCAGCACATCAGGGAGCCTTCACAATGTCCAGAAAGGTGACCCTACAAGAAGATAGTGGAATGCAAAAGCGCCTGGGTGGAGGAATTGCCCTGCATCTTGTGGACCTACAGAACTACCCCGAGGAAGGCCACAGGTGAAACTCATTTCTCACTCACATATGGATTTGAAGCGAGGGCTCCAGCGGAGACCTCGTTGCTGAGTTATAGAGTGGAGACATTTGATGCCCAGGGGAATGAAGAAAACTTAAGGGCAGAGCTACACCTTATTGATGAGCGAAGAGAAAGGGCGTACATACGGGCAGAGAACTACCGCCGGCAGGTCAAGTCATACCACGACCAGCGGGTGCGACCAAGGCAGTTCAGAGTGGGCGATTGGGTCCTTAGGAAAAGGGAGGTCAGTCGGCCGACCGACGGAGGGAAGTTTGCTAAGAGCTTCGAAGGACCATATATCATAAAGGAAGCGCTGGTGGATGGGACGTTTAAATTACAAACACCAGCTGGAGGCGATGTTCCGCGAGTATGGAATGCCGCCAACCATATTAAATTTTACCAATAGATTGTATTCCAGCCATATTTCTCTCTTAAAGTTTAATAAAACCAGCATTCGGGCATATCTTGTCCTCAATTCTCAAAAAAAAAGGAGCGACCAAAAGAGATCGCTAAGCCCAAGCTGTATGGTGATACGCGCTAAGATACCCAACAGGGGATGAAGTGTCGAACCCTGTCAAGCGACCAAGATTGAAGATTGTCAAGCGATGCGACTAACCAGAGGACGACGTCGTGGCAAGGAAGCCTGAGAAAACGGCTATGTCTGAAACATAAGATCTACTGATCGCATGAGCGACCGGGGGACCTTGAAGGTATGGCGACGCCATAAGGGTTAAAATAACTCGAAAATGGCTAGGTCAAAAGAGGCGAGGGATTCTCTTATTAAGGTCTAAGGAAACCTGAACGCTTAAAATGTGATGCGAAAGAGACGAAGATGGAACTTGTAAGTAAACAGGTAACATCAAAATATATTTATGAAAATGTTCATTACATTTCAAGGATAATCTTTTGCATCTACTACAATACAGTTGAAAACAATCTCTACATACTTTCAAAAGAAGGGATGCTTTCCCATACATTTCTTACAAGAAAAAAGAAAAATCTAGAACTTTGTGAGCAGCTGAGGCCCAGAAAGGACGAAGGATCCGGGGGAAACATGCAAGGTTGAAAGGTAATTCTGCAGCTGTATAGACCGGCAGAACTATGATCACCAGCCGTCCAGAGCGACCACCTTTCTTCCCCATCATGGAACAGGAGTGGTCGCCCCCAGCCTCGGCAAAAACCCACCGTCCTTCTCCTGCAAAGGAAGGACGGGAGGCAACTCACTTTTCTGTGAGCCCCAATCAGCATCACCTAGATGAGGATGCAGACCCTGAAGCCGCTTGAACTACCCCAAATCGCCTAGGGGCCTTCCGGGGAGGTGAGCGACCAGTAGGGCGGGGTAGGGAAGAACCCAGTTCTTCCCCCACCACAACCTCATCTTTAGGCCTCACTGGTGAACTGGTGCGACTTTCATTAGTCCATCGCTCCAGACTTGCGTAATATGCGCACTCATGCTCTAAGAGGGGTAAATGCTCATCGTGGAAGCTCTCCCAGGCCATGCATTGCAGTGAGTGGAGGGGGCATGGGGCGTCCTAGTCAATCCGCCCGTCGGGCAGACGGTTGACAGAGAGAGCCTTGTACGCCTCACTTAAGTCTTCATAAGGGTTTGGTGGGATCGGCGGCGGTTTCACCGACGGCCACTACCGGCGAGGCAACCGGCGACAGAATTCGTAAGGGTCTAGCCCCCCCAGTCATTGGAATTGAGTGACCTGGGGGAGGAGGCAGGCTCCGGCGAAGAAGGAGCCGGCCCGTCAGAAAGATTCAGAGAAATAGGAACTTCTTCAGACATGACAAAAATGGAGAAAGGGAAAATATTTGGTGATGAAACAAAAATGAAGGCTAGGGGGGCTTATAAATAAGCCCAGGTGAAGAAACCGAAGAGACGGTCAAGTCCCAAGGCAGCTGAACCGATAAAGCAGCTTTGAGCCGCGCGAAGGTCCAATCAGAGACTGTAAGAGGCATTGGGTCAGTTGGGCGGCACGCTGGCCAATCCTGAGATTGGGCCTGGTCAAGTAATCGGGCCGGGATCAGAAGCGGGGCCCAAACTAAAACGTCCATGTTAATCAGCTAAACTAAAGAAGTGAGTGTTGAAGTAAAACGTCGAAAAAGGGGAGCACATGGTAAATCCAGAAAGTCAAATAACATGGGAGCATTGTATCAAAACGACAAAGCATTCCAATGGAAAGAAAGAGCAAGTGTTTACAAAACTATGGGGAAACAACAAGGGAGGTTAGGCGCTCGAGCTGGAATTTCCACCCGCCTTGGATGTAGCTAAGTTGGCCCCTGGATTCTGGTCGCGCTGTCCACCTTCCTCTTCTTCTTCTTCCTCTCCTTCAGACGCGCTTGAGCTCCCTCCATCCAAGTAAGGACTGGGGTCGAACTCGGCCAGGGAACGACAGGGAGGGGGAAAGCCAAGGTCGGGGAGAGAGAATCCTTTGGGGAGCTGAGCCAGCCTGTCGCGGAAGACCTGTTGGGCGCGGAAGAGTCCACAATTGAAGGACTTGGTCCCCTCCTTGACCATCCACTGAGCCCCAGGTTCAGTTTGGAGCCACTCGGCTGTCAGCTTGTCCATCTGCTCCAAAGCAATCGTCGTGAAGTCAGGGGAGGACTTGAAGGACTCGATCGCCTCCTCCACACAACGGGCTCGGTCACCCTTCTCCATCTCCAACTGCTCGATCAGGTCAGACTTCTCCCCTTCTAGCTCGACCACGCGAGCAGAAACTGATTCTACCTCCGAGGACAAGGAGGCCTTGTCTGCCTCAAGGGCGACGCAGCGGTTCTCTTGGGAAGCTTTCTACACAGCAAGCGCCGCGCAGCGATTTTCCTTCTCCTCCAGATCCCTTGTGAGTCGAGCGACCTCTTCCTGTAATTCCTTCTGCTTGGCCTCCGATGTCTTCAACGCCTCGCCCAAGGCGGCTTGTTGGCCCCGTCTCCTGCCGACCACCTCAATCATCCCCAGCGTGGCCTGCACCAAGGCATGAGGGTTAAGAACATAAAAAGAAGGAGGAGTGCAGAGAGAATCAGTGCAAGTACCTGGCTTAGCCTCAAGAGGACCATGTTGTCAAGATCGTCTTCAGAACCGGCCGAGATGCGGGCCTGGTCCTCTGCGGGCAGGGTGATCAGGGTCTCCAGTTGCACGTCCCCTAGGCTTCGGGGCAGAGGAGGAATGCAGAGCCTCGTCGAGCGACCCTTGGTCGCCATCTCGTAGGTCAGTGCGGGAGGCGAAGGAGGTCGCTCTGAGGCAACACCCTGGGACGACCTAGCGAGGTCGCCACCGGGCATCGTAGAGTGCGAAGGGGACCGGCCCGCCATTGTACCCGTCTCCAGGTAGCATCATCCTGGTCCTCCACCACAATTACAGCCGGCTCTCGGGGAGGACTTTCCCCGTGGTGGGATGAAGAGCGTTTGCCTTGGCCCTTCGCTTCTCTCTTCCTCTTCTTCCCAGTTGTGAAGCGACTGAGTAGGAGATCGCCATCCATCTCTCCTCCTGAATCTTGTAATTCCATTGGAAACAAGGAAAATGGTCAGCCTTGAAAAAAGATAAACTAAACACTCGAGCAAAAGAAAAGGTCAATTACCAAAAGGACCACAGTCAAGACCTTCCTCAGGACTGTCCTTCAGCTGGTCAGGCCGATGCCCCCCGGGAATGTCCCTCAGCAGGTCGGGTTGGTGACGAAGCTCATCCTGGACAAACTCAAACCCCAACCCGGCAAGGGTTTCCTCTGTCACCACCTCTTTGATGTTCATAACTCCCTTGTTGCAGAGTTGGCGAGCGATGGATATAAGGGTGGCATCAGGTGGGGGGCATGGAATGCGGCGGAAGGAAGGGCGCCCTGAACCCGTGACAGGAGATTCGGGCCCCGTCGAGACGAAAACAAAAAAAGGTTTCCAATCTTTGGTTGACCCCTTCTTGTCACTAGCGAAGAGTTTACTGGACCTCTAGGAAAGACAGGCATAGGACGCCCAATCCTTATGGCCCTTGGTCAGTTTAAAGGTGAATAAGAAATGGTCCAAGGTGGGCTTCACCTCTACATCCTTGCACCGAACCAGATAACCGGCGATGTACCGGTGAGAGTTGGGGACCAACTGGCATGGAACAAGGTCCACCACATTGAGGAATTCGATCAACAACGGGTGGAGTGGGAAGCGCAGCCCCTTTTTTAAAGATGCCAGATGGACCGTGAAGAACCCTAAAGGAGCGTCCAGGGCGGTTTGGGTGCTGGTAGGTCTCAGGACCTCAATGGAAGGTCCAACCATGTCAGTAGCATCGGCAAACCCCCGGTGAGTAATCTGGCAATGGCACAACGCCATGATGTTTTCGTCCAATCCAACCCACGAGCCCTCATCTATCGGGGTTGAGGAAGGGAATTGCTTCCTCAATCGACGCCGTCTGTGGCCGGGCACGGCCGACGGCGACGGCTGGGGTGATTGGGTATGGCCGGGGTTACGACCAAAGGCCGATTGATTGGCTTGGCGAGAATTGGACGATGGGGTAGCCGAATCGGAATCTGAAACAATCATGGTGGCGAGAAAAAGAACTGACCTGGAAAGGGAGAAGAACGGGTCGGTTAGCAGTGGAATTGCAGGCGATTGATGATGAAGAAAGCGAAAGAAAGAGATGGTGTCCAGCGGCGATTTTTAACTGACAATGGGGAAGCGAAGCGGCAGGTCATGATTACCTATTCGTGGAGATTGTGCCCAAATGTCACGCGGAAACCAAGGAACGGCCCGGATCCACGCTGGAGCGCCCACGTGGACTCTATAAACTCCCCATTCCTCAACTTGGCCCAGTCGAGGATTGAGGGGTTGGGGGGCTTGTGATGGGCCGATATCCAACGGGCGGCCCAAATGAATCACTTAAACAACTTGGGTCAAGCGCTTGGAGGATATCCATACTGGGCCGGCCCATGGAGTTAAGCCCGGCCGATTCCAATTCAAGGAAGGTGGGCAGAGTCAACTGAGAGGGGGAAACGGAACGGAATGACGGAGATGAAGCCGGAAAAAGAGGATCGCGCCATCAACGGGATAGACTCCATTGATTATGCATTACCTTAATTGTCTAGAGCTCATGTATAAATAGAGGAGACCCGAAAAGGGAGAAAAGAGGTGAGAAGAAGCTAATAATACATACCCAATTCTCGAATTCTTGTTCTTAATTCTGTTCTTTCGATCCGTTTCCTAGATCGGATCATTTGGTGGATTTATTGTCCATCAGGTATATTTTATGAATACATCTAATGTACAGATTTTCAGTTATGAAATTTTAAATATGTAATCTGCATAAAAATGAGAAGTAGTCAAAGATGTGAACTTTTGTAAAATGATTTATAAAAATAAATATTGAAATTTAATAATATTAATTGAATATGAGAGTAATTTTAATTATATATCAATAAATTCAATTTTGGCTTTGTCAAAGTCAACACTCAAAATATGGTGTCAGAAAAATTATTTCAAAAAATGTGAAAATTATATTGTCGCGTAAAGCTTGACACTCTGATCGTAACGGTACAATCAGATTTTAATTTGGACAAAGTTGTACCAAAAAGCGTGCCCCAATTTAAACCATTTTCGTCCCAATCACATAGAGAATTAGAGACACGTATAAAAGTAGTCCAAATTGAGGATCACACTCAGCTCCCCAAACAATAGCATGATGTGTTATTCCTTCATCATCATCTTCCCCTTCTTCCCTATAAATGGGGTACCAATTTCTCCTTCATCTAACCACCAAACTCTTTCATTTTTCTTCTATTCTACTCCTTGTTGTATGGAGAAAAATCCGCAAGTGATCGCCGCCGTTAAAGTCTTCAGAGGTAGCCACGGTTCTTGCCGGAAGTTTCCCCGGAAAGTTGAATGAAGAAAACATCCCCTGTGCAAATCAGCCCACTTGTGAGCATATTTTACATCCTCTAAACGTCGTTATTTTAATTTGGTTTCTAAACGAAAGTTGTACCCTTATGTCTTACAAATCCGAAGCTTCAAACGGTTCGCGATTTCGTTGAGTAACGAAGAAGATATGGCCCAAAAACCAGGGCTGGTACAGTGGTGACGGGAAGTGATGAGTTTTAAGATTTCCAGCGTTGTTTTCGCTCCCGTTCGTTCGTTGAACTTCATCTTGTTGATTTCCAGGTCTGTACCATGATTTTAAACAACTTTAGAAGGCATTGGAATGATCCTTGAACTCATTGATTCATATGTATTTGAAAATATAAATATTTTGATATTCATAATCACTAAAATTGTTTTATTGTTAAAGCTTCAAATAAATTATAAAATTGCATGTGAATGATCTATGGACGTTAGAAAGCATTTTTATGAACTTAGTTTAAAGAATAGAAGCTTAAATGGTGTTTTGAAAAAATTGGGTCGAAGGTTGAAGATGATGAATAGTGACTATGTCTCTCTTGCGCGTATACGGTAGCTACATACCGTTTAAACATTACCAAGATACCATGTCACGCTACCAAGGTACTGTCTCCATGTACCGTGCGACGAGAAATTTTCCAAAACGGTAAAGTCGATCGTTTGAACCCAACGGTCAACCGTTATGAATATTTTAAGTCTAAAAATGCTATGTTGGAAATTATAAAATCCTATTTTTGATACCAACTGATTATGATCAATATAAAAATGATTCTTCATAGTAAAAATAATGTTTTTGACAAATAAAATCTTGTGTGATGCATGACGGTAAGCTAGGGTGTGAACACCCGAAGCTAGGTCGGTAATTGTAATTGAATATTATGTTGATTATTATTAATTGATGATGATGATGATTATTATTATTGATTGATGATTATGATGATTAAACCTTGATGAATGTTCGGATTAAAAATGATAAATATGAATGATTAAATCATAATGAATGTAGTGATGATTGTGAAAATAATATGTGTTGTTACGGATATCTAGAATAATTCTAAGATATATCCACATTAATGTTAATTAGAAGGATATCTAGAATAACTCTAAGATATATCCAAATGACCATTTTAGTTAATTTATATTGATTCCAATGGTATATAGAATAACTTTAAGATATACCATAGTGATGTTAATTTTAAAGGGTATCTAGAAGACCTCTAAGATATACCCATTTGAGTTAGGCCTTGCGGGTATGATGCCCGGTGGCCAGGGTTAAAACGCACGTATAGGATCCAAGAACCAAACTTGAGTACCTACTCGTTTGAGGGTACCACCCGACCCAACAGTGAACACTACGCTGTCGATTTTTGGTTAATCGTAAGCGAAGGTAAGTTTAAGATTTTGAAAACCCTTTTGAAAATTTATATCTTAAACTAGTCCTAGCTTGAGGGTTAGTTACGAACATCCTAAACTAGAATTAAATTAGCCTTAGATTAAGAATAGTTTAAGAGCATTGTTATGATTTGGCCTAAGCTTAAAATAAGTTAAGAACGATTATTTTTTATAAAACTTGATATGAAATTATCAGTGACAGACAGATGATGAATATTGTAATAATAAAAATGGCATGTGATTATTGTGAACTGCAGACTGATTCCTATATAAGTTTGAATGATGTTGGTAGTTATCATTTTTAAAATAATAAATATAGATTTAAATATGAAAAGCAAATATTTGAACATATATATGTGATTGGTATTGTTTAAGAAATTATTCTATGAATTCTTTTATTGTGCCATGGTACCACTCAGCTTCATTGCTGAGTGTGTAGACTTTTTCATCTTTCTACACGTAGGTATGAGAGAGAATAAATGTGGAGCCTATTTTGGAGAATACTGAGATGGAGGTGATATGTGGACATGAACAAATATACTATTTTTGTTAATGATTTTATCAAATGGTTTGACCATACTGTTGTAGTTTACAAATTGTTTCTGCATTGTTTTAAATAATTTTACTTCGATTTAATTATGAAATATTTTGTACACTTTTTTTAAATAAAGTTTTTAAATGTTTGAAATTTTTACTTTACCAAGTTAATACTTTAGTCCGAAAGGGGCTGCAGACCTAGACGGATTAAGGTGTTACATGAGATATCCTTACTCACCTTCCATGCTGAGCGTGTAGTAGGTTTTATTTGCTACACGTAGGTAAATAGAAAGAATGATATGACATGATTATGGCGGCAGATAGAGGTGAGATAGTCGAGATGGATGTGATGGTTTTTAATTAAAGAATATAAATTAATTATGTCTTGTTATTTTGATCTGTTAAGCTTCTAGAACATTGAAAACTTCGTATTGTTTTTGTTATGAAAAATATTATTGTGATAAATAAAAGTGTTTGAAATGTTTTAAGTTTTTTACGATTACCAAGTTTATAGTTTAGTCCAAATGGGGTTGCAGACCTGGACGGGTTAGGGTGTTACAATTGGTATCGGAGCAAATGGTTTTAAAACCGATCTTCGGATCAAAGTTTAATTTTAAAAAATGTCAATCACATCCATGACTCTCGCATCCCTCTGCTCGAGGGAAGGTATTGAGAAGTTATTTGACAAATATTGATTGTGTTAAATTCTCATTAGATCATAATCGTTAGTTCTCAAATCGTATCGAGCGTAGACTCAAGTCGAACTTTCGTACTCGACAAGAGACGAAAGAATAAACAAAAAATGTATGACTCTCTGATCCGTTACCAACGTGCTTATCTCACTGTGAATGACTAAACTGAAAATTGTCTGCATCATCGCATGGAAACGAGGCGTCTCTAAAGAAAGATTAATGTTGATTATACGAACAACATCTCTAAATCCGGTGTCAAAGATCCTCATGTGCACTCAACACGATCTGATCGTTGATTCAAACACGAACATTTAGAATCAATAAAATGTGTTATCTAAAGTACGTACTCCATGCTATGGTCTAACCTATTAGGACACAATAAATTATTACATCATGTGAATCAAAATCTTCCGATAAACGACAGTTATAAACCTTGTTGAAACACCATATAAGAAAATTGACATTATCTTTAGTATGAAGTGACAAACTAAAGGACTTGTTGTTGACAACTCTTGATGAAGAATCCTTCTACTCAAGACCAATGATGGTAACCTCATAGAGGTGAAAGAAAAGGTAATCCTAAACCAACCGAGTTCATCTGGAATATACACGCAAGAACATATCAAGTCCATACGCGAAAAGAAACCCCTGAACTGAAAGACGTACCGAAAGTATGTAACTTCTCTGATATGTTCCCTGGTAAACTTCTTGATATTTCATTGTTCTGAGAAATTGAATTCTCTATCGATCTTGTTCCTAGAAAAGACCGATATTCATATGTAACATCCCAAAATATGGCCTAAAAATCAACTATATAATTAGTAAAATTTAATAATTCAATTTGATAAATTGGAAATAATTTTTAAACAACTAGTTTAAAATTATAAGAAGTAATTATATTGTTAGAACAAATATTTATAAGTACTAATTGATGTAGGATCCAATTTAATTAAAATTTGGGGTAAAGTTGTTAATTGGACCAACCCCGTATTTATGATATTAGTAAAAAAACCCATATTGGTGAATAGAATTCAAGTGGTAGAAGTGTAAATAGGATGAGAGTGCTTGACACTTCACCCGTGTTCGATTCCAACCTCAGGCGAGGCATGTACATTTTTTTTTCTCTCCTTTGAAAACTCAGTATTACAGAAAAGAAAAAAAACAACAACAGCAGCTATCATTTCGGAAATTTCAGATTTATTCCCAAACCCTCTACTCATTTTTTTATTTCTTTTACTCTTTGGGAATCTATTTCTAAGCTATTTTGGAGTCTTTTTAGTTACTTAAACATATTAAATTACTCCATATCAACCCAAACTTCATCAAATATTCTAAAATATTTTTAATGGATATTGATGACATATTTGAATAATTTTACACTTCTCTTGATTTTTTTTGACATGATCTTGATTTTATGATGTTAGAATCCTCCAAAAATAATCTAAATCATCATGATCAAGTTGATGTAATTCTTATTGGTTGTTTCTACAAGTTTTTACCTATAAATACCACCCAAATTCATTCATTTTTCTCCATTCTTTCTTCTTAAAATTGCAGCAACTTTTCTCTTCCTTATACTCTATATATCCATTAAAATATTAAGTTATTTTACTCCCAATACACTACCAAATCTTTTTCCAAAAGACTAAAGTTAGAGCCAACAAGAGTTCATTTAGAGCCTGTTTAAGGTAAGAAAACTCTTCCCAAAATTTTGCATTTTTTAAAGTGTTCTTCAAGATATTGAGAAACTTTTTTCTATTTTTTTGTTCTTCGGTAAAGCTCGATAACACCTCTAGAGTCTCGGTTCCTTACTAGTCTTCGACAACTCCGTTTCACTTTCTCTCGAACTCGAGGTATGTACAAAATCGTATTGCACGGACTTCCCGTTCAAACTACTATATTTGTAGAAATCTTTTAAAAATATTCTTTGTATGATATAAAGTTATTTTTTAAAAAATATACAAAGTAGTATTTTATACTCAAATTAATAATTTAAACACTTTTAAAAATGATTTATTATAAAATATTGATTTATAAAAATGATTTGATATATAGGGAATAATATTCAAACTTTTATATTATCATAAGCTTGAACAACTTGAGATCATTGTAAACTTGTATTTCGGAGCAACGGTAGGAGACCCCTATCACCGCTCATCGTATACATATACAGAACCAACGGCCAAGGTTGCGAGAATGATGCCCAAAAGGCATTATTTCTCAGGGCTACATTCAGAGACCCCGGGTGTATGTCGTTAAATTGAATATTTCGTATCTCAGTAGTTTGGATAAAATCTTTTATAAAGTTTTTATCTAACTTATAACTATGTAGTTTCATAGGTGGAAATTCATTCTGTAAAACTAAAATATTAATTTTCGTTAAAATTATATTTTTACGAGAATCCATCCTATATTGTTTTGTACCACTCAGCAAATATGTTGAGCGTACAATATTTTTGGTTTTTACTGTGCATAGGTGATGTAGATGGAACAAGTGGAAGTGCAGGACATGGCAATTAAATCCGTTTTGATAAATACGGTTTTGTGTTTATTTATTTGCTTGAATAAAAAGTTTGTATTTTATTTTATGACATTATGTTCACAAACATATTGTGCATTAAACTCGTTTCTACTGTTTTTAATAAATATTTATATGATGTTTTTATAAGAAATTAGTATATTTTTTCTTAACTCTCTAATTTGGAATAGTTCACGAGACTGTTCAAGTTAGGGTGTTACATCATAACTCCATATTGAATGACCTTTCGTTGAGATTGAAAACTCAACTTTAAAGATTGCTTGACAAGGAATTGTCTGACCAAGTGTTTTCGGCTTGAGAGAGCACCTGTGCTGTTTGTATGGAAATAAAGAATCGATGAGATTCTACATCGACTATCGAAAGTGGAAGAAAAGTGTTGATCAAGAATCGCTACCCTTTTTCCATGCACTGACGACTTGTTCATGCAAGTTCAAAGAAACTACTTCTTAAAAGCTCTAGGCAGCTCAATCTTGTTGAATGAATTGACGCCTTGTTATGAAGCAATCAATGACTTAATTGCTCATCGAAAACATCGTTGTAGTCTAATTGAATAAATGAGATAAAGTGATGCTAATGTATCATTAAGATTATTGACTCCTCCGTATACCCTATTGACGTAAAAGATCGTAACGTGGTGAGAATACAAAACAAGATGTGCAGCAGTGACACCAACGGTGTATGACTGAAAAATAAAGAAAATGTTTGACATTTACATGATACATTTTGATGTTGGAAATAAATATATTCTTTTAACTTGCATGAGCCATGCAGCTTACAACAATATTTATGGCTTACTTATAATGTTCATGGACAATATTATTTTAAGAAAAACACAACTTGGATTACAAAAGATATGTTACAGATGCAATTCTAAGTCTAATCTCTCAGAATTTGCAAACTCGTCGTAACTAGCCCAAGGACCCAAGAAAGCTTTAGCAAACTCTAATTTGTTTAAAAGCTCATCAAGAAAGAAAGAAGATGATGGTGTAAATATAGCTGGGTGGGTTAACCGGATTTGACCTGGACACACTCGACCCGTAATATAAAACACACAACAAGAACACAAAGTATGACCTAGACCGGGTAAATCTCCCCAGTCCGAATTATATTTCTTACTCTATATCTAGAGTGAACTTTAGTGAGAGAAAAATCGGCCCCTTTCCTCTATCAAATATCATCATATTTATAGAGGAGGATTTGTGACCCTCCCCTGTTCATCCATGGACAAAATATGAAGCTCGTGGGAAGGTCACTGTAGATAATGGAAGCACTGTACAATCATAGAATTTAGCAACTACAAGCCAAGACATGTACTATTCAATCAAAGACTATAGATGGATATTCTCAATCCAATCAGCCCTGCAAAGTGACAAACATTCCTTTCACTGTTTGTCTTGTGATAGACGAACGGCGAGGTGGTCCCTCGATCTTTGACGTGGTTCACCATGCCTGAGATACTGGACCAATGTTTGTCAAGTAAGATGATATGGCCGGTCACCTTTTTCTCAAAGGTTGACCGGTCATTTCTTGAGCTCAACCCGTCTCTTTGGTCTTCTTGAATTCTTCACAACATTAGGTGATATTTTGGCTATCGCCCAAAATGTGACCGGTCACTTTTTTAGTGGAAGTGACCGGTCAACTTTTGACCCATCCCAATTGAAGAGTTAACCTCATTTGGTGATTGGTAAAAGTGACCGGTCATAATTTGACCTGTCCCTTTCGGTTGCCCGGGTCGGGTATAGGGATATACCCATCAAGAAGTCCTCCACTTACCGGCCTTGTGAGGAAATCATCGAGGGCGGGAAGTATACTTGTGTTTACATGTCACTTTTAAAATCATCAAGTCATTCCCATGACATGTCCTTCTTTGAAATCATCAAGTCATTCCCATGACCTGTCCTTCTTTGAAATCATCAAGTCATTCCCATGACCTGTCCTTCTTTGAAATCATCAAGTGATTCCCATGACCTGTCCTTCTTTGAAATCATCAAGTCATTCCCATGACGTATCCTTCTTTGAAATCATCAAGTCATTCTTATTGACCTGTCCTTTTGAATCATCAAGCCTTTCCTTTTCAAGACCTTTCCTTTCTCGATCATACCCGCCAGAATCACCAAGTAGCATATTCAGACCTGTCATCAATGACATGTCCTTTTGGATCTGTGGTAGCCCAATCGTTGGGCCTGGCCTTTTGGTTAAGGAATTTCCCTCCAAAACCATTCACCTTCCACATTCAAAATTCAAATTTTCCCCCTCACCATTACCTTATCCATGTGTCAGCTCCTCAGCCTCCCACCTGTCGCCTCGAACTCCAACCCTCCTATCTCTCCTATAAATACCCCTCCAACCCATCTCATTTCTTCACTTCTCTTCTTCGATATTTCCACTTCAACCGGTCAGCTTTCTCTCTCTAGCTCTCTTCCAAGTAAGTGCTTTAGTCCTCCTAGTCTTTCATTTCTTCCATCTTGTTATTCTTGACCAATAGGCTAGAGTCATGTCGTCCTCTGATAGCCAGAATGTGTCCGGTCAGTCTTATGGATCGGGCTCTCAGCCCTCTTCCTCTTCTCACTTTGAATCTTCTTCTCCTCCTCCTACTCCTTTGATCCGTCGCCCCTCCCAACACTCTAACTCTCAGGCCCGGGAAATAATTGCCCAGGAGCATGTCCCTTTGAATCAACTGCCCGGTCGATTCAATCCCAAGGTCCTCAGCTGGGAGCAATGGGAAGAACGACTGGGATCTTTGGGCTTCCTAGCCCTTGATGTTAGACCGGTCTTCAAAGAGTCTTCTAGGGTTACCAAAAAGGTTCTGGCCGAGGTCCGTACCATCCTCCCACCGGGCTACAATGTCCTTTCCAAAACCACCTGGCCCAACATCATTGAACCCCACCAGGGAACCCGGTTGGGTTTTCATGTTGCTTCTCTGGAGGGAGGTATTATTTTTCCTCTTTGCCCCCTCCTTATTGAAATCTGTAAGAAGTTTCATATTTTGCCCGGTCAACTTACTCCAAACGCTCACCGGTTATTAAATTGTTTTGTTAATATCTGTGAAAATTTGAAAATCAACCCTTCCCTTGAGCTTTTCCTCCACATGTATGAAGTCTTGCCCGGGACTAGTAACTGCCCGGGCTTCGTCTATTTCCATTCTCGTAATAAGAGATCTTTTGTTACCGGTCTTCCCCCTAGTCACAAAAGATGGAAGAAAAGATTTGTTTTTGTTGAATTCCCCCCTGGCCAATTTCCTTTCTCAAACCCTGAGTGGGCTGACCGGGTTATAAAACCTGAAAGGGTTCATCCGGAGCCCACTAAAGATCTTGAGGACGCCTGCGAGAAACTTCTCAAGGGTGATCCTGTGACCGGGAAACCTTATGCCTATGGGGGCTGGGTATTGCGGCTACCTAACCCGGATGGGGGTGCGTCTGCGACCCATGACGCTGAGGATAACCGGGCTGATTCCCCGGATGGTCACGCTGAGGCCGGCTCTCCTCATCCAGGTTGGTTAATTTTCCCCATCCTTTTGATTCCACTTTCATTTTGATAAGGTGTAAAATCTAACCGGTTACTTTGTGCTTTTTGGTAGACATGAACTTCAACAGGATGACCACCATCATTGAAGATGACGAAGATGATGTCCAAGTCCTCCACTCCAACCGGTCTCCTCTCTCTAACTCTCCTTCTCCTCCTCACTTCCCTGGAATGGATGGGGCCATAAGTGCCCGGTGTAGCCCTATCCATGAGCAGAGCCAGAAGCTGAAATCTCCTTCAGCCAGGCATCATTCTGAGGTTGACTGGGCTAATCCCAGGTCCAATCAGGTTCTAAAGAGGTCGGTGCATCTTCCTCTTCAAAAGCCAAGGACCAAAAAAGGAAGAGCTCTCATAAGAGTTCCAGGGGAGGCAAGAAGAGGAAGATTAGTTTATCAGACAGGGAGGGGGAATCCATCGAAGAAGCCTTCCTATCCCTGGCCAAAAAACTCAGCAAGGTATTTCATCTCTAGTTTTCTTCCCGGTTCACGTTATTCCTTCACTTTTATTGATATGCCTCCTCTCTTTCTTTTTTTTACAGGCCGGGGTCATTTTAGAGGAGATTGGCCAAACATTAAAGGAGAAGGACCAGGTCTCCCAACTCACCCTCCTCCTTGATTATGCTAAGTTAGAGATCAATGACCGGGCAGAAAGGGAGAGGAGACTTGAGGAAGAGTTGAAGGAAGAAAGGGCCCGGTTTGCCCTTTTGGAGGAGGAAAGGAAGAGAAAGGTTGCCAAGCTCGAGGATGCGCTGGGCCAGGCTGAAGAATCTGCCCGGGCAAAGGAGGAAGCCTTTCCCACTGAAGCTGCTCACTGGGCTGCAAGCCATCACCTGGAAATTGCCCGGTCAATTTTCACCACACCGGAAGAAACCATGGACTTTTTCAAGACCATGTATCAAGAACCGGAAGGCAAGAGGATGATCACCGAGATTGGCTCGTATGGCTTCCAGTGTGGCCAGAAGGATGAGAGGTCCCTCCTTTATGCCAGACTTCTAAAGAGGGACCCTTCCTTTGACCCGGCCAAGATGAAGCTCCCGGCTCTATACAAGGAAGAGCCAGCTCCCCCCTTTCCCCTAGAGTAGGTTAGGGTTTGAATTCAAAAACTTTAAATTTTCCCAAGGCCTGGGGGATGTCTGGCCTACTTCTGACTTGTGTAATATTATCTTTTGTTTGGCATGGTTTTCAATTTACCAGCTTGCTTCTTCTTTTAGTTTGCATGGTTGAATTCCTTTTCTATGCATGGTTATTGCTTTTCTTTTCTTTTTCTTGATCGCCTTTGAATGAACTTCCAAGTCAATAAAACTAACCGGCCTTATACCCTAGGAATCGTTTTAAAAAACGCCCAGGCCATCTCATGTCCTGGTCCTGAAAACGTCCAGGCCTCATTGGCTTGGTTGACAATTTTCTTAAATATACTTGATTCCAAGTCAAAAGAAGTAACTGGCTTTATCCTTTAGGAATGTCAGGGTCATCTAATGTCCTGGTTAGGTGGGTTTCGAAGATGTCCAGGTTTAGCAACCCTTGTAAACGTCCAGGTCTAAACCTTTATTTCTACACCCCATGAAACGTCTAGAGCACCTCATGCCTGACTAGTCTTCTGGACCGGCTTATGTCTAGGTTGAACTGCAACAAACGTCCAGGTCATCTCATGTCCTGGTGTAGTAGGCTAGGTTGGAAGTTTTGAAGACCACTTTAGAATGTGACATTAGGTCATCTCATGTCCTGGTTTCCGCCCCATTTAGAATGTGACTTTAGGTCATCTCATGTCCTGGTTTCTTGACTTGAAAACGTCTAGGTCGGTTTCTTCCCCGCTTGTCTTCTGACCCAGTCAACTTCCAGGTTAGAATGTGACACCCGTCTAGGTTGAATTCTTCCTGACCAACTTCTAATGGCTGGGTTGCAATATGTAACCAGCATGACGTCAAATTTCCTGTCCAGGTGCCGGGTCAAAAATGTGACCGGTCAAAAAATATTTTTTCCAGATTTGTCTGATTTCATCAAATCCGCCAACTAAAAAGTGACCGGTCACTTTCCTAAAAGTTGACCGGTCAAATTTTAATTTTTCCCGTTCGCATTTTCTTGCCAATCCAAAAGGTCAAAAAGTGACCGGTCACTTTTGACCATGCCACTTTCCTTCACCCCTTTGGCCTGGATGTCATGCATAATAGTAACCTTGCTCAAATTTCGAACGAATAATCCGAATCGGTTTTGGAATCATCAAGTCTCAACATCAAGACCCGAACTTTCTTCGGAGATTTTGACCATGTCCTATGATCACGAACCCTCTCCAAGGTTCAGCCCTCTTCCAGGCAACACCCTTCTTCCAGGGCCCCTCTTCCAGGTTTTAAGTTTTTTAATGTGCCTTTCTCTAATCATTAGGTTGACCTAGCCAACCCAATCTTCCAACGTGGGGGTATGCCGGTGAGAACCAGCCCTCATCCAATCCTACATGTCCATATGTTATGCGTTTGAAGTGAATTCTAGTCTTCCCTAGACCCTTCAATCCGCATAGGATGGCTCATGCAAGACGGTAAATTTTTTTTTTACTTTGGCATCTTTTTGCCCCTATCCAAACGAAAATTTGGTAGGGATCCATTTAAGTATGGACGCGAGTCCTCTTCCAGACCCAGCCTATCTCAAGGCCATACCTCAACATCAAGGCCCGTATCTCAAGGGTTTATCTTTTTTTTTACCTTGCCTTTTACATCAAGACATATTATTTTAGTATTACTGACCCAGCAACACAAGTATCGAAGAAAGCTCTTATTTATCATCGAAGGGGATTACACATACATGCCCTGCCAATTTGGCCTATCGGTAGAATTTTCTAAGGTGGTGGGAATTCCAGCACCTTTCCAACTCTCGACCTTCCATTGTTTCTAACTTGTATGTCCCAAGGCGTAATATTGCTGTGACCCTATATGGGCCTTCCCATTTCTTTGCAAGTTTTCCCCGTCTCCGGGTTTGCTAGCCTCCCTTCGTCTCAGGACCTCATCACCCACTTGGAAATAACGAGGCCCTACCTTGTTATCATGGTAGGCCTTGGCTGCTTGCTGGTATTCCGTCATTTTAGCCTCAGCGACCATCCGCCTCTCTTCCAACAAGTTTAGCTCTGCCAAATGGTTTTCCTCATTCCCTTTCTCTTCATGGACCTTCTCCCGAAAGGTCATTATTTTAGCTTCTATGGGTAGTCTGGCCTCACACCCATATGTAAGGACGAAGGGTGTCTCCCCTGTGGCCCTTCTTGAAGTGACCCGGTAAGCCCAGATGATATGTGGCAACTCCTCTAACCAATTCGTTCCTGCCTCACCCAACCGCTTTTTGATCCCATCGACTATTGTGCGGTTCGCATTCTCCACCTGGCCATTCCCATGCAGGTAGGCCACGGAAGCCTTGTTGTGAGTAATCCCGAAGTCTTCCAAGTATTTGGTGAACCCTGGATTCCGAAATTGAGGCCCGTTATCCGTCACAATGTTTCGGGGTGACCCGAACCGAGTGATGATGTTCTTCTAGACAAAGCGCTGGCACTGCTTGGTTGTGATGGTTGCATATGCCTCGGCCTCCACCCACTTTGTGAAGTAGTCGATAGCGATCATGACATACTTCTTTCTCCCTTGAGCTTGAGGGAAGGCCCCAATGATGTCCATCCCAAACCTTGCGAATGGAATAACATTGGAAACTGGGTGGTAGTATGTTGCAGGCCTTCCCGGAAATTTGTAGAATACCTGGCAAGTTTTGCACCTTTGTACATATTTCTCACAATCTTGGTTCATTGTAGGCCAGAAGTAACCTAGCAAGATGATCCTTTGTGCAAGTGTCCTGGACATTTGATGGGCTGCACAGACACCCTCATGAACTTCGGTAATCACTCTTTCCGCCTCCGCCCTGGTCAAGCATCTCAGCAGCGGACCGCCAAATGCCCTTTTTTATAGCCTTCCATCTAGCATTTGGAATCTTGGAGCTCTTAACTTTACTTTTCTTACCCTGTCCTCATCCTCAGGGAATTTCCCGGTCATGTAATACTTGACCAAGTCATCCATCCAAATATCATCTGGTTCCACCAGGCCTAGATTGGGCTGTCCATCTTCCTCAATCAGGCTAACAGAAAGCCCTTCAATGCTAGCCTTCTCTAGCATCTCAATCCTGGCCAATTTGGACACATGCTCCGGGGCTGCTTGCGTCAATTTTGATAGCAAATCAGCATCGGTGTTTTCCCCCCTAGGGATTTGCTCCATCACATACTCAGTCATGTCCTTCAATAAGGCCCTTGCCAAATCTCTGTACTTCTGCATCTTCTCTCCTTTGGCCTCCATGTTGCCATTTATGTGGCCTACCACCAAGCTTGAATCGGACTTAATCCTGAGGCATGTGATTTGTAGGGTTTTGGCCAATCTCAGGCCCCCTATCAATGCCTCATACTCCGCCTCATTATTTGTGAGTTTGAAGTTAAAGATCAAGGCATGATATACCTTGAACCCTTCCGGAGTTTTGAATACCACACCTCCTCCGTAACCTTTGGGTCCAGCGGCTCCATCTACTGACATGGACCACCAAGGCTCTGTGATCGCCCTTGCCGGTTCCTCCTCCTGGTGACCCGTCATCTTCACAAGAAAGTCGGCCACAGCCTGCCCCTTTATCGCCGTCCTCGGACGATATTCAATGTTGAATTGGGTAAGCATCATGGCCCATTTGATCATCCTTCCCGATGAAGTGGAATCCCTCATGACCGTGCCCAATGGTAGGTCGGTCAATACGACAATGGGATGGGCTTGGAAGTACGACGTGAGTTTCTTCGCTGTTATGAAAAGTGCATACCCTGCCTTCTCCGTACGAGTGTACCTACTTTCTGCCCCATTTAAAGCCTTGCTTACATAATAGATGGGCCTCTGGACCCCGTCATCCCTCATCAAGACCGAACTAACAGCCATTTGAGTAACCCCTAAGTAGAGGTAGAGGGTCTCCTTTGTTTCTGGCTTGGACAAGACAATATCCGAAGTTAGGTATGTCTTCCGCTCTTCGAATGCCCTAGCACATTCATCATCCCACTGGAAGGTGTTGGCTTTCTTTAAAACATTAAAGAAAAGCAAAGCCTTCTCTGCCGACCTGGACAAGAATCGGTTTAAGGCCGCCAAGCGCCCTGTTAACCGCTGGACTTCCCTTACCGATGTTGGGGGTTGCATCTCCATAATGGCCATGATCTTCTCAGGATTTGGCTCAATCCCTCTCTTCGTCACCATAAAGCCCAGGAACTTCCCCGTCCTCATAGTAAAAACACACTTCTTTGGGTTAAGTCTAAGATTATGCCTAGCCATAATCTCAAAGCATTTTTCCAGGTCCTGAGCATGTGTGCCGCTTGCCCTGCTCTTCACCAGCATATCATCGACATATGCCTCCATGGTCCGTCCAAGCAAAGGCCTGAACAATTTGTTGACCATTCTCTGGTAGGTTGCCCCTGAGTTTTTCAACCCAAAGGCCATCACCTTGTAACAGTATGTGCTGTCCGGAGTGAGGAAGGCCATCTTCGCTTCATCATCATCCGCCATGAAGATTTGGTGATACCCCTTAAAGGCATCCATGAAGCTGAGTAGCTCACACCCGGCGGTTTCATCAACCATTTGGTCCGGGCTAGGGAGAGGGTAAGAATCCATTGGACATGCATTGTTGAGGTCTGTGTAGTCCACGCACATCCTCCAGGTATCACCCTTCGGGGCCAGGACAACATTGGCCAGCCATTCAGGGTAGTTGACTTCCCTGATATGACCTACCTCAAGTAGGTCCTTGACCTCTTTCTTCACAAAGTCCCTCCTATCACTTGCTAAGAATCTCTTCTTCTGTCTTACAGGCCTAGACCCCTCAAGAACAGAGAGACGATGGCAAATGACTGACCGGTCAATCCCGGGCATATCAGCAACACTCCAGGCAAATAATGATTTATACCTGGTCAACACCTGGACAATCTCAGTCCTTAGATCTTCGTGAAGATCAGCCCCAATTTTGACCTTCCTTTCAGGATTGGAAGCATCAATCTGGATCTCTTCTGTGTTTGCATCTGGCTCGATCCTAGCCTTCTGCTCACCCTTGTCTACCTGCTGGGAGACCAGTTCAATTTGTTCGAACTGGCGGGTCATCTTCTTGACTGCCTCCAGGTAGCAGGACCGGGCGTTCTTTTGATAACCCCTTTCCTCCCCGATTCCATTGGGAGTGTAAAACTTCATGCATAAGTGTGCCATGGAAATAATAGCCCTGACCTGGTTGATTCCAGGCCTACCCAAAATGGCATTATGCACACATTTGATGTCGACCACAACAAATCTCATTTGTTTGGTCACTGTCCTGTTACCTGACCCCAAGGTAACCGGTAAGGTTATCTGACCTTCCGCTCCTATGCTAGCTCCAGTGAAGCCTGACAACGGTGTTTGCAATGGCCTCAACATGGACCTGTCAAGCCTTAATTTCTTGAAAGCATCCAAGTATAAAACATTGACACTGCTTCTTGTATCAACCAGGACCCTGGCCACATCAGCTCCATTGATATCCATTGTAATGACCAGAGGGTCATTATGATCTCCCCTGTCCTGGGAAGATCCCTATCAGTGAAAGTGATAGGTTCCCTCCTTGCGTGCTTCCCTTGTGTTTCCAGGGAAACCACCGCTACGTGTAAGCTCCTAGCCTAGTTCCTCCGCTGGGAGGCAGTATCCCCACCTTCTGGGCCGCCGACAATCATCTCTATGAATTCTTTATCCGGATTGTTGTTATCCTTCCCGGATTTTCTCCTTCCCTGGTCTTTTCCCTGAGGACGGGTCCAGGTGTTCGCTTTCGGGTCCTTATTCCCCGTCGCGTAACCTTCCCCAAGCTCTCCTTTCAAGGCCATCTCCTTGAGTACAGCCTTGACATTTCGGCAATCCACCGTATTGTTGGAGTTAGATTGGTGGTAGGTACACCACTTCTCCGTCCAAGGCCTCTTGGGTTGTTCTCCCTTCTTCTCATCCCTTATTTGATGGACAGATCCGTCATATGTGGCCTTTGGCTTGGACCCTACCATCTGGTCGTCCTTCTTCAGCTTGTCGGATTTCACCTTTGTATATCCTTCCTCCAATTCCCGCTTGCTCTTATTCAAGACCTCCGCGTCGGCATACTCCCATGCCGTATTGTAGGCTTCTTGGTAAGAGGAGGGTGGCCTCCTACAGAATTCGGTGTAGAGGTCACCCGACCGGAAGGCATTCATCAGCAAAGACATGGCCGTCTTGTCGTCCATCTCTTCTACCTTGTCGACCTCATCCCTCCAACGGGTCAAGAATTGAGTCAAGGACTCCTTCTTCTTCTGCCCTACCGTGTTAAGGTAGGTGAACTTCTTCCTCTTGATGCAATTGTCGTGGTACTTTTTGCGGAAAACTTCGGCAAGTTTCTCAAAGGACCTGATCCTGCCATGGGGAAGGCCGTTAAACCATTCCACTGGCCTCCCTCTAAAGGATAAGAAGAAGAGTAGGCATTCCTCAGCATCAGTGCACCCGGCCATCTGTGCTGCATTGTGGAAGGTGGCAAGGTGGACGTTTGGATCCTCCTTTCCTGTCAATTTCTCCACGTCCAGCTTAATCTTCCGCCTCAACCTCTGCGCATGTACCCTGGCCGAAAAGGGAGATTTAGCCAAGGTGTGCTTTTTCGCTCCCGCCTTCTCTTCCACCTTTTCCTCCAGGGCACGTAGTTTCCTTGCTACGCTCCCTATCTTGTCCAGGTCATCTTCATCGTATGAACGCCTTGTATATGCCGACGCCCTCGGCTGGCTTTCTGCTTCCTCCTCATCTTGGTGAATCGTCTCAGATTCCCTAGAATGACGAGATTGGGCGTGACGACTCCCGCCAAGTCTTTCCATTGCGCTAGTCCGGCCCATTTCAGGACCAAGACGTAGCTTGGCAGACTTACGGGGTCCATCCTCTTTGTCCCCTAGGCGTTTGAACACCGAATCTCGAGTCTTGCTGGGTTTGGTTATAGCCTTACCCTTCCTCTTGCGGGCCGCCTCCTGCTCCGCCTCATTGATTTCATGGACATTTGAGGGCGCTGCTTCATTCATAGTCCCCGTCAAATTCACCGGATGTATTGGGACCATCCTAGGGACAAATGTCGACGGGGTCGACACCGGAGGTGGCATGATTTGTGGCGTCATGCCGGGATAGGCAAATGGCATGAAGCCCCCTGCCTGTTGCATCATGTCCATCACCTGTTGATAGCCCTGTAGAGCCTGAGCATTTGCCGGGTCAGCAGCAAACTGAGCCCAAGCTGACGGGTATGGTGTGAATGCTCCACCAGGCGTTGTTATTGAGCCTGGGAACATTGTTGTCGTCGGCGTAGGAGTAGGGGTTGACATGATTGGGATCATGCCAATCGATCCTACAATGGTGATCGGAGCAAAGGTCGTCCCCATGCTCGACATCATCAATGGGATGGCAGGAGTGCTTTCACTCGCAGCCTGACTTGACACAGCGTTGTAGTTGCTCGAAGACATGATTGTGGATATTTAGTGGGGGTAAAGTTTTGACCTGGTCGAAAAAACTTTAAAAATCGGCCCCACGGTGGGCGCCAAAAACGATGGTGTAAATATAGCTGGGTGGGTTAACCGGATTAGACCTGGACACACTCGACCCGTAATATAAAACACACAACAAGAACACAAAGTAAGACCTAGACCGGGTAAATCTCCTCAGTCCGAATTATATTTCGTACTCTATATCCAGAGTGAACTTTAGTGAGAGAAAAATTGGCCCCTCTCCTCTATCAAATATCATCATATTTATAGAGGAGGATTTGTGACCCTCCCCTGTTTATCCATGGACAAAATAGGAAGCTCGTGGGAAGGTCACTGTAGATAATGGAAGCACTGTACAATCATAGAATTTAGCAACTACAAGCCAAGACATGTACTGTTCAATTAAAGACTATAGATGGATATTCTCAATCCAATCAGCCCTGCAAAGTGACAAACATCCCTTTCACTGTTTGTCTTGTGATGGACGAACGACGAGGTGGTCCCTCGATCTTTGACGTGGTTCACCATGCCTGAGATACTGGACCAATGTTTGTCAAGTAAGATGATATGACCGGTCACCTTTTTCTCAAAGGTTGACCGGTCATTTCTTGAGCTCAACCCGTCTCTTTGGTCTTCTTGAATTCTTCACAACATTAGGTGATATTTTGGCTATCGCCCAAAATGTGACCGGTCACTTTTTTAGTGGAAGTGACCGGTCAACTTTTGACCTGTCCCAATTGAAGAGTTAACCTCATTTGGTGATTGGTAAAAGTGACCGGTCATAATTTGACCTGTCCCTTTCGGTTGCCCGGGTCGGGTATAGGGATATACCCATCAGAAGAAATGAAAAGTTTCCTTTGACTGAAAGACATGAAGTTCTGCCCCACCGCATCATCTAGAAATTTGAGAAGGTTATTGAAATAACCGTCAATGTTTAAAAGACCAATGAGTCTACTCCACAAAATGATTCATCTCGAAATACTTATAGTAGTTACTAGAAATTGTGTACTCTAGACCGTACGTCGGTCCGTAGACCCGTCATGTTGCGATGTACCACCATTAGTATGGACTTTTGAAGCAACAACTCCTTGAAGGCCAACATTACCTCCTCCACAAGTAAGTCTAATTTTTCGCCTTACCAATTCCTTCCTAAATCTACCGACGTTGCCTTGAACTTTGGATTCTGACCAAGGGCGTGACTACCAAGTAGACCAATCAATGTAATGGCATATGAAAGAGTTTGAGAAGCTCATTCCAAGATGTGTGATACCCTTTCTGTAACGGCCTAGGAACCGGTCTAGAAGTTAATCGATAATTAAATAAATGAAAATTATTTATTTACGATAATCTATTCTTTTAAAGAATTAAAAGATATTTTGGGGATTCTAATCATCTCAATATAACGAATCTAATCTGACTATATCTGTAAAGGTTTAAGATAACAGGCTGATCAGTATTAATTAATCATAAGTATGAAGATGGACCAAGTGGGACTGGTAAATGTTTGTTGTTCGATCATAAAAGCTAGATTGTTGGGTAGGGATCGACGAATTGAATCCAACAATGCAAACAAATCTCAATTCGAAGTAAGTTAGCCCCAAAAGGGTGTTTTTACTCAAACACATTATTTTAAATTAAGGACTACAAAACCCTAGAAATATAAATACTCCCCCTTTTCGTTTCTTCTTCTTCTTTTTCTTCGAGGAGAACCGCCGCCTCACCCTTCTTCTTCCCCGATCGAACAGCAGCAGCGATGACCACGACCAGCGCCCTTCTCCTGCTACGCGACTCAGCAGTGACAACGGCCGCCTGAGCTGACCCCCGGGTCCCCCTCCTCCGATTGAGATGCAGCGGGGACCAACACACGAGATGGCGATTAACGACGATGGGTTGTCTTCCAGCAGCGATCGGCGACCTCCTTCCGGCGACCAAGAGCCGGCAGCCAGTGGTGGGTTCAGGCGACGCGACCGCACCCCCCCAACGACTGGCGCATGCAGCCCCCAGCGATCTCTCTCCCTAATCCGGTGACCTCCGCGAGGGCGGTGACTCGATTGGTGAATCAGCGACCTTCTTGCTCCGGCGATGGAGTTTGGGCAGAGGTGATTAGGTTTGGAACTTATGGTTGACTCCAGGCAGCAATACCGAATTTGGACAGCGAGACGACACGGTGTCGTGGTAGCCCTGATGATCAACTCTGGTGACGGCATCCGTGCGATGTTCTTTTGGATTGACTTGAATGAATCGAGGTGAGTACTTGGATATCTAACACAAGAATATCCATATACGTTTGAAATTCCCGTTCATAATAATTATCGTGATTGATCTATGTGGAATACTTTGTTGAATTGCTTGATTGTGGTTTCAGGGATTATATTGATTTAAAAGGGTAGAACTCATGATTAGGCATTGATTAATTATTGAATATATATGTTTGATAAATTATTATGTTCTGTTTAAATTCATTGACGGATAAATCTAGTCAGATTTGGGACTCAATTAGGAACATATCTGATGGGTCGATACCTAACGGGTAGCCCAAACGCCATACATGGAAGGCGCTGGGTCACACGAGCTAAGGAATATTAAATCTGGGCCGGCCCAAGACGTTGGGCCTAGGCCAATCTAATTCATGAGACAGCTGGAAGAGTCAATCTTGTTCTTAATAATTTCTTTTGATCTGTTCTTCTGAATTTGGATCATCGGGTGGATTTATTGTCCATCAAATTGGTGCCCTCGTTGAGAGCTTGAGAAACACACTAAAGAAAAACCCTTCCAAAATAACAATGGTGCAAACCCGTAGCAACGCAAACCTTCTCACCGGAAATCCCCTTCAAGGCAAAACTAGTGCCAGCAGAGGTCGTCATCCTCCCATCAACGTGACGGAGGTGGAGGCCCTCATTCAGCGGGTTGGGATCACCGCTGAACAACTCAGGGTGGTGATGGCAGTCCAGGTTCCAAACCACGAGGTTGTGGTGGAGGATGCAATCGGGCGACCAGCTGGAGGGAAGGCTGGACCAGCAGGCTCCGAGGGGAAATAGAAGAAGAAGATCAGGCGATCCTAGAAGAAGAAGGAGACCAAGCCTAATGGCAAGGCTGTGGTGGAGGACGATCTGTCCAGGTTGGACGAGGAGGATGAGTCGTCCTCCTTCGAGCGGGCATCTACCTTCGATCAGCTGGGAGATCCCAAACTAAAAAAGCCACGAACCTCCGCGTTCGAGTAGCTGCAAGACACTCGGTCGGCTCGAGAAGGCAACCTGAGGGACAAGCTCAGGGAGAGGAGAGAGGAGTCCTCAGCGACATCCAAAGCTAGCTCGAAAGAGGAACGTAAGGCGATTGAGGACAAGGAGGCGATCGAGTTATGGAGGATGTACGGGGATTGCCTAGAGAAGCGATTAGATGCCCAAATTCCGTACCGCCAGGCGGTCTTCAGTGAGGTAACCGCCTTCTCCAAGAGGGTGATGTCTTGTCCTCTCCCGGACAACTTCAAGACCCCACAGATCAAGGCATACAATGGGACGACCGATCCCCAAGACCATCTCGCTCGCTTTGGGGCAAATGTGGTTATGTACGCCTACCCCAAAGAGATCAAATGCCGAAGTTTTCTAGCAACGTTGGAGGGGAAAGCCTATGAATGGTTCCACAAGTTGCCTAAAGGATCGATCGATAAGTTGAGCGACCTGGCCCACAAATTTTTGGAGCACTTTGCGTCGAGCCGAAGACAGAAACACCAATTCTCACACTTGCTTAACGTGAAGATCCGGAAGGGGGAGCAGCTCTGGGAATTCATTAATAGGTGGGAGGAGGCTAGGGACGTCCAGGGGGCGGACGACTAGGGCCTTGATCGTGATGCTCCAAGCGGCACTCCCTCAAGGGGATGTGCGCAAGGAGCTGCGACGAAATCCACTCCCTACCTATCAGGAAATGCTGGCCAAGGCGAAGGCGAAATACCTGGCGTTAGAAGAAGAGGATGATGAGGCGCCTGTCTAGAATGAGAAAAAGGGCGAGCAGCCTGCGGGAGAAGGGAGGAAAAGGAAAATTTGGTAGGGGAAAAAACCCTACAGGGTATCAACCGAGCAGGCTGCCTGTCCATACAGTCGTGTCTTTACCGGCCCCTCCTCGCAGTCGAGAAAGCTATAGCGTTCAAGACGCACCCAAATACTGCAAGTACCACCGTAACAGCACCCACAACACGTTGGAGTGGGTTATGTTGAAGGAGTTAGATCAGCTGATTGCTAGAGGGCCGCCTCCTCGACCGGAATGGCAGGCATCGGGGAACAGAACATGGAGGAGACCGGCAGCTGCCGCCACAGCGATCACCAACGGGGAGGGGCAGGAGGACGGAAGGCGATATCTAGGGAGAGATTGTGAGAACTTAGATGAGGAAGAAAGGTAGAACCGCCGGCACTTGGGATGTCAGTTCATCATGGGTGGAAATACCAGAGGAGACTCGGTGTCCTCATGAAAGAAAAGGAAGAACAAGGTCCACCTGGCCGAGTTGCAGAGGCCACCGCCTGAGCGGAAGAAGAAGGAACCCTTGATCTTCACAGATGAAGATTACCCGCCAGTCCTTAGTCCCCATCGGGATGCACTGGTAGTGAAGGTGAAAATCAATAATGTGGTCGTCCATCGCACGCGGGTCGATACCTGCAGCTCAGTCAACATTATGTACAACAATACTTTCAAAGAGCTGGGCTTGTCTCGAGGAGATCTTAAGCCAATCCGCACCCCACTGTCAGGACTCCCTGGGCACACCATTGAAGCGGAAGGAACCATCACAGTGAAGGTTGGGGTAGGAGATGGCACCCACCGACTTTTGCTCGACATGGAATTTATGGTAGTGCAACTCGATTGTGCACACAATTTACTCTTAGGGCAACCAGGTTTGGAGGACTTGGAGTGCATAATCTCCCCTGTCCACGTGTGTATGAAGTTTATCATTCCTACCGGGGTGGCAGTGGCGAGAGGAAATTAGAGTTTGTCTCGATCGTGCTATGTCAGGGTGACTAAGAGCCAGGCACGGATCGACGAGAACGTTAGCACAATCTGTGCCGCGATACAGAAGGAGGAAGGGAGACCCAGGGCGGAGGTGGCAGAGGAAGTACAGGAAGTTGCCCTGGATCCTGCAAAGCCGGAGCAAAAGGTGAAGGTAGGTAAGGCCCTGCTGCCCAGGTTGAAGGAATGGCTGGTGAGTGTCCTTCAATCATTTAAAGTGCTATTTGCCTTGGGACTAGGGGATATGCCCGACGTCGACCCGCGAATCATTTGCCATAGGTTGGCAGTAGATCCGGCCTACAAAACAGTCAAGCAGAAGAAACGTTTCCTCTCCTCGGAAAGGAGATATTTTGCCACAAAGGAAGTCACTACCTTGTAATCCATTGGGCACATCCGAGAGGTCCGCTACCCAGAGTGGTTGGCAAACGTAGTCCTCGCACCCAAAGGGAATACCTGGCGGATGTGCGTCGATTACACCGACCTAAATAAGGCTTGCCCGATGGACCCGTTCCCTCTTCCCAACATTGACCAGTTGGTAGACAAAACGGCAAGGTGTGAATTGATAAGCTTCATGGATGCTTTTAGCAGGTACCATCAGATCAGAATGCCCATGGAAGACGAGGAGAAGACCTCCTTCATCACGCCCAATGGGGTATATCGTTATTAGGTGATTCCCTTTGGATTGAAGAACGCTGGCATGACTTACGCGCGGATGGTTAATAAGTTGTTCGCACCAGTGCTAGGGGGATGTATGGAGGCGTACGTGGACGACATGATCGTCAAGTCAAAGTGGATGGAGTCCCATCCTCATGATTTGGAAAAGGTGTTTAGAATCATGCAGAAGTACCAGCTCTGCCTCAATCCGAAGAATGTACATTTGGGGTTCAAGGGGGCAAGTTCCTAGGGCATATAGTCAATCGAAGGGGCATTGAGCCCAACCCATAGAAAGTGAAGGCAATTTTGGAGATGGAACCTCCGCGGAATGTAAAGGAGGTCCAGCAGCTAACGGGAAGGATCACTGCTTTCACCCGCTTTTTGTCAAAAATAGCTGATCGAGCGGCTCCATTCTTCCAAACTATAAAGAAAAGTAGGGTTTTCATGTGGACCGAAGAAAGTCAGAGATCCTTTGAAGGGCTGAAGGGGTATCTCCTCTCACCGTTAGTACTTTCAAAGCCGGAGCGTGGAGTGACCTTGTACTTGTACTTAGGAATTTCTCCTCGGGCTGTGAGCTTAGTACTTGTGAGAGAGGAGGAGGGTACGCAGCGACCTGTGTACGATGTGGCCCGGGTGTTACGAGGAGCAGAGTTGAGGTACTCAAATATGGAGAAAACTATCTTCACGGTAGTGTGCATGGTAAAGAAGCTCACCCCATATTTCCAGGCCCATCCAGTCAACGTTCTATCCCAAAGTGTAACGTCCTGAAAATCGGTCTAGAATTTTTTTAACTTTTTACTACAAAATAAAATTTAAAAAAATTGAAAAAAAATGTTTAAAATTTAAGTATGAAAAAAAACGTTCCTTAAAAATATGTCACTTTTCTTTATTTAAAAATATTGAAAAAAATTAGAATACAAGCTTCAATGATTAAATTGTTAGAGGGGATGAGTAAAAGCAATAAAATTAGTTTTGGTTCTGTACTATCTGAAAAATATAGTTTGTTCAAATGAACCTATTTTCTTGACAAACAAATTATGTTAAAATGATGTGTGAAAAATATGGAACTTAACGGTATAAGTTTTATATTTTTTCAAAAATATTTAATAATCGAAACTGTGGAAGTCGGACATGTAATTTAACAAACGAACCAAGAAAACCATTGGTTTTCTTTTCTAAAACATCACGCCTAACAGAAGGGAAAAATTTGACTCTCTTCCTATTCATTAACCTCATAATGGAGGTAATGAATATGGTCATTTTTATTTTAATTATACTTTAATATTTTATTTAATTAATGTAAATATGTTATATCTTCACTTTCCCCTTCACTTTTTAGAATTCTCCTTCCTCACTATAGATAGGCTCTCATAATAAGAGAAACTCATGACCACATCAAGAGAAGAAAAGGATGTATAGATTTAGAGAGTAGGTGATTAAGAACAGTTTGTGGCTTTGTTGAGGGAGAGAGAGACGTGGGAGATCGATGCTGTCAGGAGATCAATCATCTTGCAACGTCGTCATTCATCAATCTATTATTCCATCTAACTAATATCAAAGGTGTGCCGTTGACCCTAACCTTTAGATATATATATATATCATGTTCATATATTTTGTGCATATTGTTTTAAATCTAAATCCTTGCATTCATATGTATAAACTTACATACAAGTTTTATATGAATATTCTCTTAATTAGGTTTAGTTTTTTTGTTGTGTGCATTTATCTGTATATATGTAAAATATGTTTTAAAAAAAATTAAACAAACATATGTACGGTAAAAAAACGTATGATAAAGTTTTCCAGTGATGTTTTTCTTCATACGGCTGACCGAACCAGAGAGGAAAAAAAACTTGTTTTTGTAAAAAAAAAACTAGCGCACTCAGAAAAAAACACAATCGGTATTGTTAAAAAAAGTGTTTATTTTCTTTCTTATGGTTTTTTTCCAAATCAAGAATAAACCAAGGAGTATTTGAAAACTAATTGAACCATATGTATGGTACTAATAATAGTAACTATATACACTAAAAAAAGAATATCTAGATAGTAATGTTGATAATAGTGAAAACAATAAACCATGGAGTACTGAATATTTGTTTTACATACTTACTGTAACTTGTTTTATATACTTGTCATACTCAAGGTATTGTTACAAGGTTTATGTTTCCTATCTAAACAATAATGTATACTTTGTCAGTAAAAAAAACTAATCTAAGACATAAGAAGTTAAATAATTAATTAAATTTTATTTAAAACAATGAAATGGCCGAAAATGAAATAAGTAGATAAAATGTATACACATGTTACTTTGCAAGAAGAAATCTACGAAATAAAGTGTTTTGATTCAACAGGGGACATGAACCATTAAATGATTTCAAAAATGGTTTATGTTTTAAAACAGTAAAAAGTGTTTTATTTAAATGACCGTACTATGGTTAACCAAACATTTAGTGGACGAAGTAAAAGTTTCAAGATTTATATATCGACATACTCTGACCAAGTACTGTCACGTTGTTATCAAGTGGGTCAAACCACTTTCAAGGCAAGACCGTGTTCATGTGGATGAGACTATAAATAATCATACCACAACGTGCGCACGAGAACCCGACGATGACCCCGTGGGTCTAGGGTTCACTTCTGATTACTGGACCCGAGGTCACAGGGAGGTATCCAAAGTAAAACTACGTATCGACTAGTGCGGGGTTCCAGCCTAGTCACAGCTTAGTCTCTAATCTGTGGTTAACCTAGTATGTCAAAAGTTTTCCATCTCGATGATATTTAATTATGCAAAACGTTTTTTTGAAATAAATTGAAGAACTTAAAAGGCCCAAAATATATTTACATGTTATATATGTCTACTGGTTATTTGCCACTCAGCTTATGCTGAGCGTGCAGTGTTTAACTGCACGCAGGTACTAGGAAAGAAAACAACTGCTGAGGAAAGCTTGGACGTGGAGGCCGTGCCGGAGGAATTCTTATAATATATTTACAAAGCAACCGGGTTCTACTAGCACTCTGGTCTTGATGACTCGGGTCATCCAGAGTAGGGTGTTACACAAAGCCCCATCGGAACCCTCGTCCGGAGTCCTAATGCTCCGTCGTGAGTGAGCAAGTGGGGGTATTCTTGGGCTCATTCGAAATAGAGTTCAAGCTGCGACCAACGGCCAAGGGGCAGGCCTTGGCAGATTTCATGGTAGAATGCACCTTAAGGGAAGTGGAAACCAGCAGAGAGGAGCAAGATGGAAGTTGGCGGATCATATACACTGATGGATCGTCCGCGACTGATGCTTCGGGGGGTGGAGTCGTGGCGATATCACCAGAAGGTTTCCAGGCGTATTACTCTATAAGGTTCCGTTTCAGGGTCTTGAACAATGAGGCTGAGTACGAGGCGCTCCTATGTGGCTTAAGGTTGGTAGCATCCTTAAAAGCTGAACGGCTCTAGGTCAGGTGTGATTCAAAGTTGATAGTGGGCCATATCACGGGGGAATTTGAAGCGAAGGACGAGTGAATAAAGAAATATAGGGACACTGCGTTGGAGCTGCTTAAGGCATTCGAGGCATACCAGATAGAGCAGGTCCCTCGAGAGGAAAACACTGAGGTAGACATCCTCTCAAAGCTTGGACCGGATTCCCTGGAACACATTAAGGTAATGACTCAAGAAGAGGAGTTCTTGGAACCAAGCATCAGTCCCGGACAAGTCTTGGTCATCAAACTTAACGAGCCGGTGTGGATTGACAAGTTGACCATGTACATCCTTGATGGATCGATACCAATGGATCCGATCGTAGCCAGAGTCGTCAAGTAACGTGCACCTAGCTTTACGCTGGAGTGCGGAAGGTTGTATAAGCGATCGTACAATGGTACACTGCTGAGATGTTTAAGGAGGGACGAAGCACAGAAGCTGATGGAGGAGATTCATGAGGGGATATGCTCGGCACACCAAGGAGCTTTCACGAAGTCAAGGAAAATAACCCTGCAAGGGTACTTCTGGCCAACAATGATAAGGGATTGCGTGGAATATGTGCGCAGGTGAAAAGTGTGCCAAGAATTCCAGAAGGTACCAGGGCGACCAGCAACGAACTACACCCTGATCAGCACAGCAATACCCTTTGCTTGGTGGGGTATTTATTTGGCCGGCATCTTGCCCAGTGGAGGTGGGAATAACATGTATCTGGTGGTCGCGATCGACTTTACTAAATGGGTCGAGGCCGCCCCTGTATCGACCATAACTGAAGAGCAGATGAGGAGGTTTGGGTCAAAACAAATCTTGTGTCATTTAGGAGTGCCCCAACAAATCATCAATGATAATGGAACCCAGTTCAAGGCTTGGGGATTCAATGAATTCTTGCAAAGTTAGGGTATAAAGCATAGCTATGCTGCGGTCGGGTACCCAAAAACCAATAGACAAGTCGAGAACACCAACCGCACCATCGTGGACGGTCTAAAGAAGAAGATAATGGAGTGTAAAAATGCATGGGTGGAAGAGTTGCCTTACATTTTGTGGACTTATAGGACCACCCCGAGGAAGGCCACAGGGGAAACGCCGTTTGCACTCACATATGGGTTTAATGTAAGGGGTCTAGCCGAGACCTCATTGCTGAGTTATAGGGTGGAGACATTTGATGCACAGGAGAACAAGGAAAACTTGAGGGTGGAGTTACACCTCATAGACGAGTGAAGAGAAAGGGCATACATCCGGGCAGAAAATTACCGCCAACAAGTTAAGTCGTACCATGATCAAAGAGTGCGACCAAGGCAGTTTAAGATGGGCGACTGGGTCCTAAGGAAAAGAGAAGTCAGTCGATCGGCCGACGGTGGGAAGTTTGTAAAGAATTTCGAAGGGCCATATATCATAAAGGAAGTGTTAGCCGATGGAACATTCAAGTTGCAAACACCAGCAGGGGCGACGTCCCGCGGGTGTGGAATAGTGCTAATCTTATCAAGTTTTACCAATAATTTATACTCCTACTATGATTCGCCCTTGAGTTAAATAAAAGCAGCGCTTTGGCACTTCCTGATCCCATCCATTCTCGAATTCTCTTGTTTTCAAAAAGAAAGGGAGCGACTAGAAGGGATCGCTACCAGAAACCGTATGGTGATTCGTGCTAAGTTGCCCATTAAGAAGCAAGGTGCTGAACCCATTTGGTGACTGAGATTATTTAAAGGTAATTAAGATAACCAAGCGCACAAGTGCTTTGTGGTTAGTAAGCGTGAAACCCAACGGTCGCTTGGTCGACTGGGGGGCTAGCACGATCAAAAATGGGCAACGCCAAGGCGAAAAGGCCCCTGAATTGGCTAAGTCCAGAGCATAAGACTCGATGGTCGCTTGGGCGATCGGAGGAGACTTATGTGGTATAAGGTGACGCCGAGGGCGAAAAAGCCCCAGGAATGGCTAAGTTAAGGGAAGCATTTGGTTCCCTCGACTGGAAACTGAGGTGATCTGAATGCTCAAAATAAGGCATAAAAGCTAAGCCTGAGAAGGAGATGGGACTTGTCATAAATACGTTAGACAGGTAACATCAAAGTTTACTCATGGAAACATCCATTACACATCGAAAATCACCCTTTACATTTGCATTTCTATGACAATTGAGAGCATCACTACGCCAAAAACAACATGTTGATTAACTACTGTTTATGCAAACACAATAATTGAAAAAAAAGCAGACTACTGTAAGTTTTTCTTGGCAACAGAACGATAGTCTAGCTGCTATGCTTTAAAACTATTTTAAAAGTTTCGAGAAACGGTAATGTATCATTAGTTGTCTGTCTCAGTTCAAAATACAGTTTTTCTTACAATAGTTGTTAATAACAAGTTACGAATACTCTATTTAAACAATAGTCTGGGTTTTTGTTTTAGAACTATTTTTAAACTTATTAGAAACAGTTTTCTATTGTTTGTTATCTGTTTCATATGGTTTTTTTGCCACTGTTGTTTATAATAGGAATAGAAGACTCTTTTGTAACAATAGTCTATGAATTATGGGTAGAACCGTTTTTGAAGTTGTGATAAACGGTCATCTATTATTAGTAGTCGGTTTCGTAAAAAAATACAGTTTTTATTGCCACCGTTGTCAATAGTTAAGACTACTATTTCCTAACAGAAGTGTGGTTTCCCAGTGTATAACTGTTTATAAACTTATAAGAAATAGTAATGTATTACATGTAGTGTGTGTCACACTGTTTTTTTCACGGTTATCTATAATAAGTAAAGAAAACTGTTTTTAAGAGAATTGTGCATATTAAGCCTAGAACTATTTTAAAAGTTAAGAATACTAGTTTTAAATAGTAGTCTAGGTCTTAAGCCTAAAACTATTTTAAAAGTTTGGAGAAACGGTAATCTTTTTTACAATAATAATGTATACGCTCTCTAACTTTACATTCATACTTTCGGGCAAAATTTATACAACAATCAAATAACCGTTGTTCCAAACAATTATATGGACATGGAAAAATAAACACTTCCATCGAAACAAAATAAAAAGTACATGGACAGGGTGGGAACTGTCCCGCTACACACAAAGAGAATTGGGAACCCATATAACCAATTAATCTCACATCATAAAACCAAAAAAAAAGAGAAGATGGCGAGATGCAAATAAGAGTACACAAAATTTATTAAAAACAAAATTAAGAGTACATTGACTTTCTTCAATCCAAATTAGAAAACAAACAAAATACAAAGAATGAAACTTCATATTCTAAAATTACTCAAATTAAAGAATAAAAATCAAATCTTCAAGGCAGCATCACCATAACCATCCACAATAGATTCATCAACTTTCAAAGCATTCATTTTCTTCTTTTGTTTATTACCCGCTGCTAGTGGCATGGCAGTAGGTCCAGTTTGAACACCCTCAGCTGTACTCAAACCTATAACATGGTGTTGGCTGTCTGACTTGAAGTGGTGGCTTGTGTTACTGGATTTGGCATGGCAGTAGCACTACCAGGGGCCTTTTGGCCATCTCCATTTTTGAGTCCTCAACAAAATAACAAAGAATGAATAGTAACGAAAAACATGAACAGTGTAACGGAACCAACAATTCCAGGGAATCTAGTATTGATTATATGAATCAGAAACCTAATAATAAATAGTGAATGGACCCTAAAAACTAACCAATAACCATAGAAAGCGGAGAAAACACAAACAAGAAACTTGGTTAAAACTAGACTACAATGCTACACTGTAAACTATGCACCGAGTCCTAGAATTTGCTCGTTTCAAAGGAATATTTGACTGGAATGGAAACAAAACTTCATACCTTGAAAGAGCATTCCAATCCACTCAAAATACGCCACAAATTGGATATCAATTGATCTCGAATCAAGGTTGACTCAAACCTTCAGCTCCAAAAAAAACAGCCCAAGCAGTGACGAAGAGAGTGAGAAACACTGCATTTTGCCTAATTGCAGCAGGTGTCTCGTCACCCTATCTTCATGCCCTTGTCAAGACCATGACTTTCCAAAGCACCACAGCAAACAATTCCAACACACACTCAAAACCCACCCTAAACCAAAACAAGTCAAGCACTCGAAACCTACTCAACCCTCGGCCCCCCCTCCCAAGAGTTCAACTCAGTCACACAAAAATTACTGCCCAAACAATCAAATAACCGTTATTTTAAAGAATTATATGGACATGAAAAAATAAACACTTCCATTCAAACAAAAGAATTTGTACATGGACAGGCTGGGTACTGTCCTGCTACACACAAAGGGAATTGGGAACCATACAATTAATCAATCTCACATCATAAAACCAAAAACCAATTAGAAGATGGCGAGATGCAAATAGAATGTATGACCCAAGGTTTACTGAGGAATGGAGTGCGACAACTAGAGAACAACTTTTTTGCTCAAGAAACTGCTTTGGTGCTGCAATTTTGCATGATGATGCCTCCGAAACATGATCTGTTATAAGCCAAAAGTTGGTTCTTTTTAATAGTGGTAAGTTGAAATAAAGGCAATGACCAACAATCATCCAAGAAATAGTACATATCCTTGAAGTTAGGAAATGACTCGCCAACATGGATATCCCTCAAGCTTCATCCTTCAAGCATTCCGTTAATATCCTTGAAGCAGCTTCATCCTTCAATCATCCATTCTAAAAGTAATCATACACACCTTAGAACAGAAACCAAAATGGAAAAACAACGGTTGATGAGCAAGTGAAGGAGGGTGTGAGACAACTTTTGGCATAGGAGGTGAATAACAATGTTGCTTCAAGAGATGCTTTATGGATGGATGAAATAGAGAAGTTGAAATCAGAGATCTGGAAGAAACAAGTAGTCCTGCTGTCCCTTCCCAAGAGGCGAGCTGCTCACCTAAATTCAGGGAAGGTGGGCAGAATCAACAAGTGGCAAGGAAAAATCTGAAGGGCTCATTTGATGCAGAACTAGAACCACTCACAGAGAATAATGACATTGGTGATGAGTGTAATCATAAACTTTATGTGGCTGAGCATTTTGATGAGAAACAAAATGAAAAAGAAAGAGAAACGAATGAGAGTGAAGATCAAGAAATTGATACTGTGGAGAAGCTTGTGGAAGTTGGAGGACTAAAAGTAGAGAAGAAAGCAGAAAAAGATGTCTTCGTTGATGTTGATTCCGGGGAAAGCCAAATGGCACAGCTTGATGTTGGTTCTGTGGACAATATCGTTGCACATGCAAAGGTGTATGGATTCTCCGGGATAGATGACCTCACCCTACATGGTGAAAAAATGGGTGAACAATATGCAAAGGTGTCCATTACAGAAGCAATACAAGGTTTGCATGAGCAAGTTATTAATATTTTGAATTTATAAGCTAAGGATGAAATGCACACATTTTAGAAGTACTCATGTTTTTAATCTTTGATATTTGCCAGATGTTGACGTTCCAGTCCCAATCCCTGGTGAAGTATTTACTGTTGAACAAGCCAAAGGAACATTTGTAACATGGCATAAGGAGCTGATAGTCTTGGATGTGCTTCCTAAAGGAAAGGTTATTATATATCTACTATTATGTCTACTTGATTCTTTAAGATAATATATTTACCCACATGCACATTTTTATAGAGCAATTTAAAAACTGTCAAAAAGAAAAATGCCCCTAAAAGATTGAAAAAGGCACATGTTCCAGACGATGAAGAATGTGGCCAAGAGTTCCAAGTATAATTTGGTCCTGAGTATCCACTGCAGTTGAAACGGCTATAGTTGTGGGCTAAGGAAGCATTGTCTGATGATAGAGCACATATGTTTGTCCTTAATAAAGATGCCTTTGGGGTGGAAAAGAAGTTATCGGTTTTTCTGAGTGATATACATGCTCTGTGCGCTCGTGGTGAGATGGCTGGAAGCATAATTACAATATAAATCCAGTAAGAATGTCAACACAAAGATTTTATTTTCATAGTTAAAAGTCTTTTGATATAATATTCTTATGGACAAGTGACATAACTATCAAGTAATTACCCTTGTAGCTGCCTGTATGAGCTTGTGAAAAAGAACAAAATGCTTCAGATGATCTCTTTCGTGGATCCCAGCATGGTAGGGACGCTTGCATGTGGGAACATAGGGCAGAGGTCACCAAACTTGCTGATCGCTTTAAGGGGGCCTGTGATGGACAACACTTTCTAATACCGTTCAATGACGTGTGAGTATGTTTAAGTTGTTCATGTCAAGAACTAATGTTTTGAATTGTTTCTTCCTTGTGAAGTTAGTATTCAATTTGCATTGTAATGCTTTGTTAATACACTTCTGTAAATGCAAATTTCTTTAAGTTCGTGTGAATGTCGTAATTCATATATGTTTTTATTTGTAGGAATCATTGGGCTTTGACTTTTGTCAAACCTAATGAAGAGGTACATGGACCCCCTTAAACGGCGTATAAATAGTCAGGAGTGGACTGAAGTGGTTGATAAGTAAGTAGTGACTCAATGAACAAAAATCTTTGGTATTTGCTATCACTTTTGCTTATAACATTTTTCTATTTATCTTTTTTAGTTTCCTTATAGTGCTATAGTTTTGTACAAGAATACCATGAACACACCTATGTTGAAGAAGAAAGTGTCCTGGGAGAACATGGCGGTATTATATGATTCTTATTATTTGGTATGTAATGTAGGTTGAATGAGAAGTGTTGTATTACGTACTTTATATTTTTGTTTTTTAGGGCATCCCGATGCAAAAAGGGAATGTAGACTGTGGCTTGTTTGTAATGCAATACATGAAAGAGATCTGTCAGGATAAGGAGGTTCAATTTGCTTCAAAGGTAATATTGTTGTCTTAATTGTAGTTTTTCTTGTTTCTTTTGCTTCACACAAATTGTGCCTTTCTCTTATTCTGGGGATATTCACTGTATTGTATGTTATCATACCATTACTGAATTGCAAAGTTTGATTTGTCGCTTTTAGGAGTGTTCTCTATTAAGTGCTTCTTTGCATACGTGTATCATTTAGGAGTGTTTTTTAGTTTGAATTTTTGGATAAATGCAAGTTCTGCTACATGCTCTTTACACAAATTTAAGTTGAAGCTAAGATAGCGTTGTACAGAGTATTTTTATTTTGTGAAGCTAGAGGGTTTTGAATTTCATAAAAGCTATTTTTTCCTTTGTTTTATATTTTAATATGATGCAGCATATCAGCTGTTTATATACGCAAGTAATAATATATGCAAAATGATGCTCTTCTTCTATTTTTTTGTACTCAAACTGCTTAAAATAAAGAATGGTTGTTGCATCATATTTGTTTTTGTGGGCGAAAGATAAAGACTATCCCCCTATAGAATACATTAAAAGAACATGACAAGCCATGTGTTGTGTACAGTTCTGGTGTTTGTAATCAGAAGAGACTTTAAGATTAAGTAGAGTCTCTTCTAGTTCACTAATAATGTGTACTACTCAATACAAGTGATGGGTTGAGTATTAATTATTGGTCAGTTCTTTAGTGTTGGTCATCATGAATAATGTACTTCATACAAATCAGTTCTTATGTGTTGCATCCTATATTTTTGGAATTTACTTCACTTCTATGATTGGCTTATTAGATATTTGGTTGTTTTCTACGATTTTCAATGGGCGCGTCGGGGAAATCTCGAATACACCGAGGATGACATCAATCAAACAAAAGTTGAATTTGTAAAGTATTTTATGAGTCATAATGCCATTTGAATATGGTTCTACCCCTGGACTTTGGTTTTATGTTTCATTTTGTTAGATTGTTGAATCATGTATTGGGAATTTATATTTCTTTTCTGATCAGTCTTTCTGTTGTATGATTTATTGAATGACCACTGTATTAGAATGCAAAAAACATGGTCATCCACCAAATACAGTACTCCGAATGGTTGAGGCACAACACCAAATGACGATAGTTTGAATATTTACAACACAACGTCATAAAACAGAAGCATCTGATTATGATAGTCAACATAAAAAAACGCTTGACTAATAAACAGCCTTACTACTGTTAAGATCATATTACAAATATTTTACGGACAACTATATAAACTAGTAGAGGTAATAGCTACTAGACATCTGGTACTTGCAATTGTGTGAAATGAAACATAATCGTATTCTTAGTTTTAGATATACCACAAAAAAATAGTTCTCTAATGCAAATGTTTTCAGTGGTGTTACAAGCAGCTGTCTGATAACAATTTCGACTACTCTCCCAAAATATTGTTTAAATGGGTGGTAAGAGAACAATCCAAAACAGTACTGTTTATAGATGTCGTACAACTAAAACAAAAAGTTGTTTAAGATAAGACCAAAATAATAGTCTGAACAATATACATACAACCCAACGTAATAGTTGTTTGAAGCAAATACTTATAGTGGTCTTCCGAGCTGCTGTCTGGAAGCATATTCAACTACTGTTTGGAAGTATAGTGTCAATGTTTAGAGGATAACGAACAAAAACTGGAGTGTTAATAGACGGCATACAACCAAACAAAAAAGTTGTTTTAGGTAAGACCAAAGTAATAGTCTCAACGTTGTACATACAACAGAAGGTAGCAGAGGTTTGATGGAATTACTTATAGTGGTCTTCCGAGCAGCTGTCTAATAGAAAATTAGACTACACTTGGAAAACATAGTGTAACCGCATCGATCCCAACTACAATAAACCATTGTCGTAATAATCCATATACAATTAATTAAGACAGTTGTTTTTAAGTAGTTGTCTCGAATTCTATATACAACACAATAAAATTGTTGTCTGAGTATATATACAAAATCGTAGACTCAATCACGAGCAGATCACAAATATTCAAAGTTGTGTTAAGCTACAAAACACCGGTGTCAGATTTGGATTTGCACAATTGTTCTAAATCGAGGTCTAGCATCCCATCAAACAGCTACTCGGAAGACTACCGAAAACATCAATTTTAGACTACTAAAATAAACAGTTGTGAGCCTCTATTTTTGACGTAGTGCATCTTTCAAACATCAAAGAGGAAAACTCAAAAAAAAATACATGCGACCGAAACCCGAAAAGGGAGAAAAATACAAGGAAAACGGGGAGGTGAAGGGTAGTTCTGCAGCTAAGTTGGCAAACAGAACCCCAACCACTAGTTGCTGCAGACTACCACCTCTCTTCTCCAACATGGAACAGGGATGGTCACCCTCCACTTGCAACCAAAACCCCCCGTCCTTGTCTCGAATAGAAGGAAGGGAGGGGGTCGCTCCCTCTGTGAGCCCCACTCGGCATCACCCAGATGAGGATGCAGACCCTGGAGTAACCAGAGCTACTCTTGGTTGATTAGGGATCTTCCGGGGGAGTGAGCGACCAGCCAGGGTCAGTTAGAGTTCTTCATTAGGTCGCCCTGGCGAGTTGGTGCGACTCTCGTTAGTCCAGTATTCCAGACTTGTATAATATGCTACTTTATGCTCCAGGACGGGCAGGTGCCCATCTTGCACGCTCTTCCAAGCCGCGTAAGGCCACTTATGGGTTGGGCATGGAGCATCCCAGTCCACCTCTCCTGAGGGTAAGCGGTTGGCTAAAAGTGCCCTAGACGTCGCGCTAAATTCATATAGGGGTTTGGTGGAATGGGCGGTGGTTTAACCGAGGCCCACCGTCGGTGAGGCAAATGGCGACAAAACTCGTAGGGGTCTATCCCCCCCAATCGTTGGAATTAACAGACTTGGCGGAAGAGGCAGACTCTGGGGAAGAATGAGAAGGTCCATCGGAAAGGCTCAAGTAGGAACTTCTCCAGACATGGCGAAAAATAGATAGGTTGTGGTTGGAAGGAGGGTATGTGATGAAGGAATCTAATGGAGCAAGGGGGGCTTATAAAGAGCCCATGGTGAAGAAACCAAGGGACGGTCAAGTCCCAAGGCAGCTGAATCGATAAAGCAGCATCGAGCAACATAATGGTCCAATCAATCGCCATAAGGAATGTAGTGGATCAATAGGGCAGCATGTCAACAAGCCATAAAGTTGGGCTTGGTCACGTATGTGGGCCTGAAATAGAAGTTGGGCCCAGGTAGGAGGCTCATTCATACCATCGGAGAAATACGACAGCAAAGACCAAAATAAACAAAGGCACACAACCACTGGAGGTAAATGAGAAAAACTTGAATATCATACTGAATTACCAAAATATCCAAAAGGCCACAAGTTTTTATAAGTCTAAGAGTGAAAGATACAAGAAAAAGGGGGAGTGGAGCGAATCACATGCCTGAGCTGGGACCCTCGCCCGCCTTGGTCGTTGCAGGGTTTGCTCTCGTCTCCTGGTCGCCCTGCCCATCTTGGTCGCCCTGAGCGGTCGACTCATCTTCCTCGTCAGAGGCACTCAAACTTTCCTCATTTAAGTAAGGACTAGGATCAAACTTGGCAAAGGCACGACAGGGAGGAGGAAAGCCAAGATCGGGAAGTGATATTCCCTTGGGAAGCCGAGCTAGCTTGTCGCGGAAGACCTGTTGGGCCCGGAAGAGTCCGCAGTTGAATGACTTCTCTACCTCCCCAACCATCCACTTGGCTCCGGGTCCGGTCTTGAGCCACTCCACAATCGGCTTACCCATCCGCTCCATAGCGACCACGGTGAACTCCGAGGAAGATTTGAAGGACTCAACTGCCTGCTCCATGCGACGGACCTGGTCGCCCTTCTTGGCCTCCAATTGCTGGGTCAGATCAATCTTCTCTCCTTCCAATTAGGTTACCCGGGCAGAGACGGATCCCGCCTTGGAAGACAGTGAGGTGTTCTCCTCCTCCCATTTGGTGGAGTGATCCTTCTCCTCCTCTAGCTCCCTTGTAAGGCGAGCGACCTCATACTGCAGCTCCTTCTGCCTATCTTCCCCGGCTCTCTTCATCTCATCCATGACCGCTTAGTGATCTTGCTGGCGAGCTCGATCATCCCCATCATGGCCTAAGCTAAAGCATGAAAAGTGAGAAGTGCAAGACGAAGGAAGGGGGAAAAGAAGGTAAGAAGACTGGACTAGATAAAAAATCAAGGCAAGTACCTCGCTGAGCTTCAAAAGGATCATGTTGGTGAGTGTTGGAGTTGTGCCCTGATGGCCAACTGTTCATCGTTATCCTATCATGTATAGGCAGATATAATATGTTTACACATCTCATGCTAATGTAAACAAATATTATATTCCTAGATTTATATTTAAAGATGTTTATCAGATAGTGTTAATTCTGCTGATGAGACTAACATCTTGAAATAAATATTTATCAGAATGTCCATAGTCGAGTATTAACGAGAGTGAGATATCGTTAATGCATGTGAGACTAGTGTGTGTTGGATGTTTTGACTTAGTCTCGTAGTCAATGATAGCGTGTTCGCATCCGCACATAGGTAGATATTATCTGGAGATAATAGGATGCCGGACTGACCCATCCTAAAGATGTTGCTTGAACTCTTAGTTCATGCTCTAAGCATCTTTAGCGCGATCACGGGTGTAACTATCCTTCGACTTGAAGTATTATGTTTTCTGCATATGTGAACCCGCATACTTTGATGCATTGTCCTAAGCCATATGAAATAAGGATGGTATACAGGCTTTGTTTTGGGTATGCCGCAGCGCGTATTCATAAACGTAGATTACGTACATAGGATTTGTCACTACTCTTTTTAAAAGAGATTAATGTCTTATGGGGCCCACTGATAAGTTATGATTGAGGAAATTGCATGGCCATGCTGAGATGTTTTTATGACGTCTGTTCCTATTAGTCAAACTTGATAAATCAGTGAATGACTTAATGGATACAAGCTGGATTTTTTTTTAATCCCTTGCATTAAGTTTAGACATTGAGACAAAGGGATACAGTTACACGGAGTCTGAGTCGTGGAAAGGTTTTGACGGTGCAAACGTCTTAACTTATAATCTGGGGGGAAATAATGTGTTGCTAGATACCGCTTATTGCTTATAGTATTAGTGCAGAGCCAATACTGTGGCCAGCTTTATAAGTGCCTATACGGGTCACACACTTTGGACAATTTAAAGAGTAGGATTAAACAATGGGATAATAACTAATTTGTATATTTGTAAAAATAGTAGAGTAAAATATTTTGGAATATAATATTATATATATATAAATATTCGGTTATATATATATTATATATATGTGCCGATTAATATATATATATATATATATATATATATATATATTATATTGAATATTTTATTTTGATTTGCCATTTTAATTATGAAAATAATTATTTTGACATAAACTATTTGAAGTATATTTTATACTTGTTTAATTCTTCTCCACACTTTGAACATTTGAGTGGAGAAGAATTTTGAATATCCTTCTCAAATCAAAACATACGGCCATGTGATGTTAATGAAGAAAAATTTCTTTTTTGACTTTGCATTTTAAAGATGTTGGAAATTTCCTAATTTGTCATTAAGTGTATAATTATTTTTTAAATCCTCTTTAATGTTTCACATTATATGTAACGCACATTCAATTGAAAAAAAAATTCGGCCATTACATTTTAGAGAGAGAAATACTTCTTTTGTTCCATTAATATCATTTTATGTATAGAAAATATCTATAATATTTTCTAAATATTATTAGAAATATTTTCTATAGAAATATACAAGATTATTATTATCCCAATTTAATCTTTATATTTTATACTACTATAATGTTTACTAGCATAAAGATTGTGGTAGACTCTGGGGTTGTTCGTGTGTCAAAGTTGGAGACCGGACGCTTGAATGGTTACGTTTGCACTTTCAACGCTCTTCCTACGACTTATTCGTTTTTACCGCTTACGGAGAAAGGTACAAACTTCTTACTACTATAAGTTTTAGTACGTGATTCTGGGCAAGATAATCATGTTAGGATGTTAAAATTTTTTATATTTCGCTACCTATCCGTACTCTTGGATGGTGATCAAATACGGAGACCTTGGTCACCCTCCCAGCTCAAGATCGGGACCTGTTTTTCGGCTAGCTCCCACAGTGATCTCACTGAAAGATAACCTTCCAAGGATAGGCAGCGGAATATAAAAATTTTAACATCCTAACATGATTATCTTGCCCAGAATCACGTACTAAAACTTATAGTAGTAAGAAATTTGTACCTTTCTCCGTAAGCGGTAGAAACGAAGAAGTCGTAGGAAGAGCGTTGAAAGTGCAAACGTAACCGTTCAAGCGTCCGGTCTCCAACTTTGACACACGGACAACGCCGGAGTTTACCACAATCTTTATGCTAGTAAAGATTATAGTAGTATAAAATATAAAGATCAAAATTTGGGATAATAATAATCTTGTATATTTCTATAGAAAATATTTCCAATAATATTTAGAAAATATTATAAATATTTTCTATACACAAAATGATATATGTGGAACCAAAAAAAATATTTTATCTCACTAGAAAATATTATGGCCGAAAGTATGCCAAACTAATCAATTGATGATCTCCTCCCTTTAAAATGAAATTGCCGTGTTATTTAAAACAAAGATTACAAATTGATTAATCATACTTTGTCATTAAGCAAAAGGTTAAAACATTATTAGCTCCACTAATTTCAATCATGGAAATTTGATCCTTTAAAATCTCCACTTGGCCGAACAATGATATGAGAAGGATTCGTGAAATTCTTCTCCACTCAAATGTTTAAAGTGTATTTTATTTGAAATCAAAAATTAATATAAAATTAATTTTAAATCAAATAAAATACCCATATCATTTTTAAACAAGTATACATATATACTTTAATTAGTTTTTGTCAAAATAATTATTTTCATAATTAAAATGACAAACCATATATATGTAAATATATCACCGAATGTTTCACATATATATAGTATTATATTCCAAAATATTTTATTTTACTATTTTACAAATATACAAATCACTTATTATCCCATTGTTTAATCCTACTCCTTAAATTGTTCAAAGTGTGTGACCCGTATAGGCAGTTATAAAGCTGGCCACAGTATTGGCTCTGCACCGATACTATAAGCAATAAGCGGTATCTAGCAACACATTATTGCCCCCAGATTATAAGTTAAGACGTTTGCACCGTCAAAACCTTTCCACGACTCAGACTCCGTGTAACTATATCCCTTTGTCTCAATGTCTAAACTTAATGCAAGGGATTAAAAAAATCCAGCTTGTATCCATTAAGTCATTCACTGATTTATCAAGTCTGACTAATAGGAACAGACATCATAAAAGCATCTCAGCATGGCCATGCAATTTCCTTAGTCATAACTTATCAGTGGGCCCCATAAGACATTAATCTCTTTAAAAAGAGTCGTGACAAATCCTATGTACGTAATCTACGTTTCTGAATACGCGCTGCGGCATACCCAAAACAAAGCCTGTATACCATCCTTATTTCATATGGCTTAGGACAATGCATCAAAGTATGCGGGTTCACATATGCAGAAAACATAATACTTCAAGTCGAAGGATAGTTACACCTGTGGTCGCGCTAAAGATGCTTAGAGCATGAACTAAAAATTCAAGCAACATCTTTGGAATGGGTCAGTCCGGCATCCTATTATCTCTAGATAATATCTGCCCATGTGCGGATGCGAACACACCGTCATTGACCATGAGACTAAGTCAAACATCCAACACACACTAGTCTCACATGCATTAACGATATCCCACTCTCGTTAATACTCGACTATGGGCATTTAGATAAATATTTATTTCAAGATGTTAGTCTCATCAGCAGAATAACACTATTTGATAAACATCTTTTAAATATAAATCTAGGAATATAATATTTGTTTGCATTAGCATGAGATGGGTAAACATATTGTATTTGCCTATACGTGATAGGATAACGATGAACACTTGGCCATCAGGGCACAACTCCAACACTTGGGTGTTCTTATCTTTTGAAACACGGAACAAGTTGTATTAAATAAGGATAGGGATAATGTAACCTCCAAAAAGATTCAAAAAGTGTCAGTTAATCTGTAAAAAAACTGCCGACTTATTCGAATAAAACACAATCTATTCGAATAGTTTGAGTAAAACAAGATTTTTGAAAACACATGGCTTATTTGAATAATTACTGGATTTATTTGAATAAAACAGAATGAACTGCAAAACTGGGAGCCAACTCATTCGAATAAATCCCCTCTTATTCGAATAGTTTTGATCAGTTTGGAAAATCTGAATAACAGACCTGTTCGAATAAAATACTGATTTATGTGAATAAAACAGACTGAACTGCAATTCGCTTATTCGAATAAATCACAAATTATTCGAATAAAAACTTGGGAAGAAACATTTTTGAAGAAAGGTTTTGAGAAAGGGTTTTGAAAACAATCAAAGAAGAATTCCTGTAGGAATTCTTGGAGGAAAATGGTCAAGGTGAGACAGGAGTTTGCAGCTATGCCAATCTCCGAGGAATATAAACCAGAGAGGGATACACTTGGCTCATGGGACAAACCCCAAAAGATGCATGGTGTGATATTGTCTGGAATAGGTTATCTATACCTAAACACAGGTTCTTTGCGTGGTTACTATTGAAAGGGAGACTCCAAACAAAGCAAAGACCTAGCAGATATATATCGCTTAACACAGCATGTATGCTGTGTGAGAGTGGTATTGAAGACATCGAGCATCTTTTCTGGAAGTGTGATTATATACAAAACTTATATGGGAACATCTTACCAGGGCTAGGATGTGGGGTAGGAGGAGAGTCACTACAAGACTTTTGTGTGAAGAATTTGAGAAAAGGATCCAGAAGGGAGAGGGCAGTATGGACAGCAGCGTGGGCAGCCATTTGCTACACAGTTTGGAAGGTGAGGAACAAGAAGTATCACACACATGAGCTTTTTGATGTTAATAATAGCTTATCATATATATGGTTTAATCTTAATACATACATATATAACAAAAAAGTGTATTAGATATAGTGGAGGTAGAGCTTGATTAGCTAGCAGATCATGTACTCTTGGATGATGGTTGTGGTAATATAAGATTGTGCTGTGTTCAAAAGAATTCCTGTAGGAAAAAAACAGAGTATTTGAAGAATAAAGATGTGCCATACACTTTAACAAGAACTAAGACTCAAAAAGAAAAAAGATCTTGAAAACCTTTAATCTTCAAATCTTGTCTTGAATCTCTAAGCAACGTGCTAGGCAATCCACATGAAAAGATCCAGATCCAAAGCTCATCCCATATGCATGGTTGTCATTATCAAAACACAAGGGTCAACACCCGCTAAGTGTGAGGACAACTTAGTAATTGCATCTAATCCTTTCAACCATTAACTCCAATTCCAAAACACTCTTAACCATGAGGGCTCTATGCCAAAAATAGTATCAGACGACTATTGATTAACTACTGTTAATGGAAACACAGTAGTTGGAAAAAAACATACTACTGTGTGTTTTTCTTGGCAATAGAACGATAGTGTAACACCCCAATCCGTATAACCCGGAATTAAACGAATTAAGGTGAAACGAGAGATAAATAAAAATTTTGCTTGACATTTGAAAATGACAATTTCTTATAAATACTAAATTCCAGAGTCTGGATCGCGACTCATTTAAAAATATTTTCAGAGTAATGCGGAAGTACAATAATAATCAAATCATGACACATTTAAAATCTTGATGATCAAACATTTGCCTGCCATCCTTGCATCTCCTCTGACTCAATGCCCTCCGGGAATGGTTCCGTCATTGTCTTCTTGTTACCTACGTGTAGTCAACGAAAAATACAAACTACATGCTCAGCGAAACCGCTGAGTGGTACCACGCTAGAATTGTAGAATAATTCACAGACATATACATATACATATATATACGTCTACAAAAACGTATAACAATATTCATGATATGGCACATTATATCATATGGTCAATTTGATGAATCATGATGATAAATATTTAATGATAATTAAATGATGGCACATTTAATCAATTTGCTAGTTCTTAGTGATGATTACATGACGCCTATGTAATCAATATAATTGTTCTTGATGATGATTACATGACACCTATGTAATCAATATAATTGTACTTGATGATGATTTCATGCTATATGATTTTAGTCAACAAGGAACGACCTTGCACTATGAGATTCGCCCATTTGGTACGACGAATTCATGTCCTTCTTAGTCTCACGAGGGAGACTAGAAAAATAGGGGTGGTACTCGAAAGTCTGAATACCATGTACGTACACTTAGCCCGGTCAGGGTTGTCGAACTGCTTAGTCCCGCACAACCACGCTATAAGAGACGCACAAGGCATGAACTCTTACGCATGCACATGATGTGATATGTTTCAATATGGATGATGAAATGAATCATATGATATGAACAATTTGTAAACAATAAGAATATGTAATCATACATTAATTTATTTGGGTGAAACATGATAAAAATATTATTTAAATAAGCTACGGGGCTCGAAACGGTCGACCGTTTGTCGCGGCGGTCGACCTTGATCTTCATCGCGTCAGATTGGCAGAACACCGTGACGGTTGACCGCGGTTGACTGGCGGTCGACCGTTGTTGACTTGCTGGGAACGGCGGCCCTCGGCTGGACAGGTAGCGGTCGACCGTTAGCCACCGGCGGTCGACCGTTTGGCTGACAGTCGTGGTCCGTTTCGAAATTTAACACGACAGTCGACCGTTTGCGTCGACCGTTAAACACCTTTGATTAACATATACATATTGTTGGGTTGATTTCCATGGTTTATATCTACTTATGTGTATATTAACTTTATGGATTTGGTGTATTTTGATCTCAACATATAGTTGATTTATATATGCATCACATATATATTTTGGGATGATTTCAACATAAAGATTAATATATATGTTCATGTACGTATGTGATGAATGATTCGACAAGTCTAACACAAAGGTACAGACCTGGAAATCATTGGCCGAAACCTTACGGATGAGCGGGAGTGGAATATAACATCGAAATTTGCCAACTTTGTCATTCTCGCCACAATTGGACAGCCTTCCATATTTTGGGCATATCTCCATCGTTTCTTCACGGAATTGCACACCGTTTGCATCTGTGGATTTCTAAGATGTAAGGCTATACCTTTCGTATAGAAAGTATTTCGATTTAACAGTTGTAAAATAGCGTAAATCGGACCTGAAGTCAAAGGATAGTTGCTGTCCAGGATTTCGGATATGTCGATGAACAACGATTTCGACGATTAACTCCTTAACTTCAATATTCCAACACCGAACCTTCTTTACGATACCTTCCGGATGTTCCTAATAATCGTTAGAGAGTTTATGGTGAGTGTTTGGAATGAAACAACATGAATATGGTGGAGGAAATGGTCTAACCCGAGGAGTTCGCCACCACTGGCGCAGTCCCGGTATTTTGGCCATATCTTCTTCGTTACTTCATGAAACCGCGAACCGTTTGTTGGGTTGGATTCGTATCGTCCGGGGCTACAATTTTTATTCCAAAAGTATTTCGAGATCATGGATGGAAAATTTCAGTTTTTACCTCAAAGTGGACTGATGTGTTTTGGTTTTAGGATTTTGAGACTTTGGTTGGTTTCTTGCTTGCTTCTCCTTCTTCCTTAGCATATATTCATGGAGTTGGTGTGCATTTCTCCCTTGGCTTGCTGCCGACAGAGAGAGAGAATGGAGAGGGGAGAGATGAGATGATGATGGTGGTGGAACATGATGATAATGATGAAGATGGTGGTGGGGTATCATATATTTATTTTTGGAGTGTTGTTTTAGTGGAGAGTTGAAATCTTGGGTTTGTGAATAGCAAAAGCAAGCTGCGTGATTGAGGAAGGGATTTGGGAATTAATGTTTTGGACATTTGTCCAAACTGACTAGTTTATCCCAAACGATACGCGCTTTTTCGCCCAAACGGTTCCGAATTGAAAACGAATTGTGTTTTTGGAATGAGACTGTCAAAACTAGAATTTTGACGTAATCAAAATATTTTTCTGAGAACTTTTATTTTTCTCAGTGTTCAGGTCTGTCTCAGTCATAAATTAATTTTATAATATGAGTGATATAAAAATATATAAATGATAAATATGGTGTTGTCAAGTGTCAAAGATTAAGATTTCTAATCTTATGAAATCACTTTTGAATTGAGTTTAATTTATGGGTCAAAGTTACAAATTTTAATATTTAAAATCGTCATAACTTGAAATCTATAAATTAGATTGGTTCAGAAAACCGTTGGATTCGTCTCTTCGAGACATATCCATAAAATTAGTTTTTAACAAAAAGTCATTATTTTGAATATCCCTTTAATTTTGGTCAAACGTATAAATATTCTTTATTCGTCAAAATGATATTCAAAATTACTTTTGTTTTATAATAAATTTTAGGCCATATTTTGTGGCGTTACAGGTAGTCTAGCAATTATGCTTTAAAACTATTTTTAAAGTTTTGAGAAACGGTAATCTATAAATAGTTGTCTGTGTCAGTTCAAAATACAATTTTTGTTACAACAGTTGTCAATAACAAGTTAAGAATACTCTATCTAAGCAGTAGTCTGGTGTTTTTGTCTAGAACTGTTTTTAAACTTATTAGAAACAGTTATCTATCGCTAGTTGTCTGTTTCATATGGTTTTTTTGCCACTGTTGTTTCTAATAGGAATAGAAGACTCTTTTGTAATAGTAGTCTATGAATTAAGGGTAGAATTGTAATCTTTTATTAGTAGTCTGTTTCATCTAAAAATACAGTTTTTGTTGCCACAGTTGTCAAAAATTAGGTAAGACTACTATTTCTAAATAGTATTCTGGTTTTTCAGTTTATAACAGTTTTTTAACTTATAAGAAATAGTATTCTATTGTAATTTGTATGTTTCATATGGTTTTGTTTTGCATAGTTGTTTATTATAAGAATAGAAGACTCCCTTGTAACAATAGTATATTTATATAGTGTAGAACTATTTTTTGAATTCATAGAAACCGTAATCTATTACAAGTTGTCTATAATAAATTAAGAATACCTTTTTAAAATAGTAGTTAGACTATTAAGCCTAGAACTATGTTTAAAGTTTTGAGAAACCGTAATGTATTACTAGTAGTGTTTGTCACACCGTTTTTTTTCACAATTATCTATGTATAATAAGTAAAGAAATTGTTTTTAAGAGAATTGTGTGTATTAAGCCTAAAACAATTTTAAAAGTTAAGAATACTCGTTTTAAACAGTAGTCTAGCTCTTAAGCCTAGAACTATTTTAAAGGTTTAGAGTAACGGTAATCTTTTTTACAATGAAAATAGATACGCTCTCTAACTTTACTTTCATATTTTTGGACAATATATGTACAACAATCAAATAAACATTGTTTCAAACAATTATATGGACATGAAAAAATAAAAACTTCCATTGAAACAAAAGAAAAAGTACATGGATAGGGAGGGTACTGTCCTGCGACACATAAAGAGAATTGGAAACCCATACAATCAATCAATCTCATATCATAAAACCACAAAACAATAAGATGTTGAGATGAAAATAAAACTATAAAAAATTTATGAAAAACAAAACTAAGAGTACAATGGCTTGCTTCAATCCATAGTAGAAAAAACAAACCACAAAGAATGAAACTCCATAGTACAATAGGAGTGCCAATTACACAAAGAGTGGTTTTTGCCCATGGTTTTACTCTTCCCAATGACTTAAGCTTGACCATTTGCCTTTGTGGAATATGGAACAAAATCATCACCCCTCTTAGTCTTTCGCACTACTGGTTGCTTAGCCTCCTGGCTTTGGCATGACAGCATCACCATTAACATCCACAACAGATTCATCACTCTCCATACATGGATCCTTGATCTGCCATTGAAAACAACCAAGGTAAAAAAGAAAATGAAACACAAAATGTAATCAAATTGAAAGATATCAAATTGAACAAAAAAATGATTTTAAACCAGACTAAGTTGAAATGTTTTTATCTACAATCCATAAGCAGACAACTAAATGGAGAATTGAATAGCCCAGTCATCAAATTCAACCCTAATAGAACCCAAGAAAGCATAGCAAAGCTCAATATGTAATAACTCATCAACAAGAAAATGAATAAAGTACTCAACGTGGCATGCTTTTTTCATATTTTAGTTGTTCCTTGAGAAATATCACATTCCCCATAAGTAACTTTTAGAATGCTTGGATTTGTTATACTTAGATAACCTCAACAACTCGTAACAAAACATCAAAAAGTAGCTTTAGATACTTGGATTGGTTATACTTAGATGACTCCATAAATTAAATAAAAATCATATTATCAGCCATCAATTTAGAGCAGAAAAAACCCTCATGCAAATGAAGTAAGGCATGACAAAAGTGAGTGTCCAGGAGGTTGAGGGAGGAGTGGAACGTTTACCAAGCCAGGCAGCAGTTCCAGCAGCAATGCACATCCCAAAACCACAGTTTAATCCACTCCATCTCCCCAAAAATAGCAGCACCACAGTAGCATCCAGTGGGAAAGAGTAGGTGATTCCAAACTCAGCTTCAACAGTCCATGGCAGCAGCATTTCCAGCCCCATACTTCCCAAGGTACAGGTGACCAAAATGAAACCACTGAAAACCAAAAGAACCTCAAATTTATCAAGATTCTCTAGTTTAAGCACCCATGTTCGTGCAACAGGTGAGAACCAACACAGCTGCAACTTATAGTTCAAAAGATCCATGGCCAGTACAAATAAACCAAAGGCATAAAAAAGACAAGGTCCTAAATTCTGCTCGAGACAAAAATGCATATTGCTTCTTACCTTTGAGATGATCCATTGCGGCTAGGTTGAGGCCAAGTGTATGTTTGCACTCCTGTAGCAACTCAGGCATTAAGTACTTGAAGTGAACTCCTTTAACCCAATACAAATCCTTTCACATGTTAGAATAAGAGACTAACGCTAGAGGGGGGGTGAATAGCGTTTGATCAAAAATCGCAGGAATAAAAAATGAATAAATGAGAAGTAAAGAAAAGAGTAAGAGGCACACCGATTTTACCTTGGTTCACCACAACTTGTGGCTAATCCAGCCTCCCGAGAGACTCTCTCGAGCTACACTACTACCTCGTTAAGCATAACGGTGCTTAACAAACCCGTACAACTTGAGAATTCGAGTCACACGAACCTCAACGAACCTTCGAAGGAAACAGCCCTTCCTTCGAACAACAAGAGAAATACCTTCTCTTGTCAAGTGTTTAAGAACACTAAAACACTCAAGAACAATACTCTCTTTTAGAGTGGATAATGAGTAAACTAAGAACGCTCAAGAACACAACACAAGCTTCACAAAAAATGGCTCTCAAAAGCTATGAATAATTGAAGAATGATTTGCAATGAAAGAGTAGGAGTTGTGAAGTAATGNTACACTACTACCTCGTTAAGCTTAACGGTGCTTAACAAACCCGTACAACTTGAGAATTCGAGTCACACGAACCTCAACGAACCTTCGAAGGAAACAGCCCTTCCTTCGAACAACAAGAGAAATACCTTCTCTTGTCAAGTGTTTAAGAACACTAAAACACTCAAGAACAATACTCTCTTTTAGAGTGGATAATGAGTAAACTAAGAACGCTCAAGAACACAACACAAGCTTCACAAAAAATGGCTCTCAAAAGCTATGAATAATTGAAGAATGATTTGCAATGAAAGAGTAGGAGTTGTGAAGTAATGTGATTGTGTAAAACAGACCCAAACACCCCATTTTATAGTAGAAAAATAGGCTCCAACGGACCAAAGTATTTAAGGGGTGATTGGCACAATTTGTGGGATTTGATGAAAATTGGATCTGTTGAAATTCATCCAGACAGCGCTGTCCTAGGCTTGGACATCGCTGTTCTAGGCATGCGTTTTGAAAAATGGGAAGCAACGGTCATGCCAACAGCGATGTCTAAAATCCCTACATCGCTGTTTTGGCTGTTTACTTCCAAACAAGGAAAGTTTTAGCCTTAAATTCCTTCCAACGGTCAGGTCTCTACATCGATGTTTCATACTAGAACATCGCTATTTAGGTCTGCCTTTGAAGATGGAAGTTTCGCCTGACAGCGCTGTTTCTGGGTCAATATCGATGTCCAAAAACTTTCTGCCAATGCACAATGTCTTTGGCTTAGGGTGGACAGCGCTGTAGGGAAGCCTACATCGCTGTTCCAGAAGTTTCTGGAAATCCAACCTTGGCTTCAACAGCGATGTCTAATGTCCAACATCACTGTTGGAGGACTTAACGCCAAACCATGTTTTTAGCTACCCAAGCCAGACAGCGCTGTTGGTTACCTCAACATCGCTGTTGGGCTGGTTTAGCCAGACCCATGGTTGGTTTAGTCACGCCGTTAGCCGATGTCAAAAATGTAAGTTCTCCAAAATACAAAACAAGTATTGAAAATGTTTGTTTAATGCATTTTGCTAAGAAATCAAGTAAAACATTTTGAAAACCACGTCATTTAGTTGAAAACCACGGCTAGCCAAGTTTACGCCGTTTCGCATGGTTTTCACTAAACGACCAAAAACGAAAGGTGGTTTTTGAAGCATTTTTGTTGGAGAACTATTTAAATATGCCCAGAAGTAAAAACCAGTCATAAAAATTTGAAAACCGTTTGGTTGGTTGGGACGCCAAAAACCAATGCCGAAAACCGAGAGCCGAACGCCGATTTCTAAAAACCGAACGCCAGATGGCTTGGTTTTTGGTTTGGGCGAACTCCAAGTGTTTTCAGGCAAGTTTAAGACTTAAGAAAATCATTTTGAATACGCAAAAAAATATTTTGATGAAATGAGCCTAGAGAGCCATGTTTTGAATGTTTGTGCCGGTCTTGATCACATTAAAACCGACTCAATACAATTCTAAGTCTTCGTTCTTGATTATTGGTTCTTGGTTCTCAGTTCATCATGCCATGTTCCTTTCGCCTTGGTTTTGCTCAGTTTAACCTTGTTATTGTCACGGCGGTTTGGCATTGACAATACCTGTCATAAAACGAACACGGCTTAGTACGACATAGGCGTAAACCCGTGTTCCAACAATTTCCCCCTTTTTGATAATGGCAAACAAGACGGGGATGTGCATATTAAGGGATATTTGATTTTCAAAAAGTTGTGAAAAAGTTCCCCCTTAATTTGTGCTTTAAAGGAAATTAGTCGGATTAAAAACAAACGGTCTCGTTTTTAGAGGCGTTCCCCCTTAGTATATGCATAGCCCTTTTCTTCCCCCTTTTGACATTAACAAAAAGATAAAAGATAACTTTTATTTATTGAAGATGGGAAATAGCGGAGTACAACAGAAGCATTAAGAGACCTGATAATTAAAATAAAAGAGATAGAAATTCTAGGGGCGGCCTAGTCTTCGTCTTCGGTTTCCTCGTCTTGGTCGTCGTCGTCCATCTCATCACCGTCAACAGCGTCGTCGAACTCGTCCTCGTCAGGGGAGCTTGGCGGGGCGTAGGAGCCATCCTCTTCGTCCTCGTCACCGTACACTTGCCCAAAGAACGTGCCATGGTACGGTGGGGGGACGTAGTTAACGCGTTGGAAGTATGCGTTCATGGCGTGCCCTTGGCGTTGAACAGCCTCGTCGAGCCGCTCAAGGTAGCCATCCATCCTGCCAACTTTGAAGTGAAGCCGGTTGAGGGAGTTGGCGATGGAGGCAAGGTTGGCCCGGGCATGGGCTTCGGCTAGGCCAGCAGCAGAATGGTGCCGTTGCACGGCAGTGGCAGGTCCGGAGTTGTCCGACCGCTTCTTGAAGGTTTGGGTGCTGACCGCCCAAATCTTCGTGGCCTTTGTGAGTGGGCCAACGGTGGTGGTCACCTTGAACCGTTCAAGGATGTCCATCACCACGAACGGGTACGGGAGGAGGTGGTCGTGGTCGGTGGACGCGGCAATCGTCATGTTGATCATGACAAACTTTGCCCAATTGATTGGGGCCGAGTGCATGATCGCATGGATGAGCTTGAGATCTTCACCGGACATGATGGTGTGG